CCTGCCGTCGCTACGAATTTCTTTAAAGTTTCCATTTCTTTGGCAACTGCAGAAACTCTCTCATCAATTTGTTGTTCGATTTGGTGTTGGACGGCACAAACTCTTCCTTCAATTCGTTCCTCCACAGCCGAAACTCTCCCTTCTATATGTTCTTTTACAGAATAAACTTTTTTTTCTATTTCTTCTTTCACCGAAGAAACTCTTTCTTCAATTTGATCTTTTACGAAAGAAACGTTTTCTTCAATTTGTCCAACTTTATTTTCAACTGTGTCAATTCTGCCTTCCATAGCTTCAATTTATTTTCTATTATGCAGGTAATTTCTCTTTTCATTTCTTCTTGACAAGCTTCAATCTTTTCTTGACCAGCTTGAACGGCTTTCATTTCGTCCTTAACGATTCCTGGCCCAATTTCATTTCTTCTTTTTAAATGAGGCAAAGGCTGATATTAACTGCCTTAATTGCTCTTCCATAGCTCTTGTTATTGGCATTCAAATCCCACTTCTGACACCAAAAATTGTTGCGTGCGTACGGGTTCGTTATGAAATGAATGCACAAGTCCGATGAAAAATGAACAAAATTTATTATTATCAACAACAAAAATGCTTAATTTTCTCAAATTATCATGCAGTATTACAATATCTCACAGTAGTTATCTTTTAACTACTCAAATGTCCAATAGAACGTAATTCAAAACAGCTAAAGAAAGCTAATCCGCGAATTCGCTACAATCAACAAGAGCAGTTTTCTAAACAACAACAAACTAAGCAACTGCCACCAACTGAGATGTTTCCTCCTCCTTTATAAGCTTTTAAAATCACGCGCTAGAATTTTCCAGTACTTTCTCCTTTCTCGAAATCAAAAAGAGATATTTATTTATTTAATGCACGCGCTCTTGTATTTTTAATTTTCCGGCTTAGCTTTCTTCTTTTAATATTCGTCACGCGCTGCACTGCGCGGGAAATAAAACCAATTAATTTATAATTGAACTAACATTAGCTTTTTAAGTACCGAATTCGTAACAGTATTTTGTAGGATATCTTGCAACATTTATGACAGATTCCAAACTTCTTGGAATACAGTGTTTTTAATGATATCATCATCAATGTTCCTCTGATCTTCCATTATTCCTGTTCTAAGTTCATTTTTCATTTTTATGCTGTGTCCTCGTACTCTAACCTCTAATTCTCTCCAAATTCGTTCTATCGAGGTGGTGTTTTCAGAACTTGTGAACAATTACAGGCACACAAAGGCGAACTTTGAGGGCTTAGAATCGTTATTCTGATAAAAATTAAGTTATTTCTAGTATTTCAAGCAGAGCGCGCATGTAATCCAGCTAATTTGAGTACTCGGTCGAATAGTGTCAGGTGAAGTAGAATATTTTTCAGTAATTGTGTAAAAATCTTTACGGCAATCAAACGTGTATTTTTCACAAGTTTTCTAACTATACATCTCTGATCACGTTGAGTTAAACTTTGCCGGACAACCTCTTCTTACTTTATTTTTTTATGCGATTTTCTTCTTTAAGACGTTTTATCAGATATTGCACAGTAGAATGGGATAAATTTTCTAATTTAGCCATATCTCGTCTCGATTTTCCCCCTTTATGGTGAAAAATGATCAATTTTCAAGTGATATTTGTTGTTTCATTACGACTGCAACTCATTTTTAAATATTAAATAAAATATCAAAATTAAAAAATTAAAAAAAGTGGCAGACCATAATTTTATTTATGAAAATGTTTCGGTATACGATCACTTTTGTAGCGTGTTTTATTTATGCTTCGTTACACTTTTCAATTTCAAAAAATGAAAATAAGTTAATATTTAAAAAAGTTTAGTTTTATTCAAAATCGCAATGAGATGTTATGAAAAAAATTAGGCTTCATATTCAAATTCAGTTCCGGGCTAAAGCGCTTTTTCTACACATTCTTAATGTGTACGAACACTTTTCTGTAGAATAGAATTAAAATTCAGCTCAAAAACAATTTCAATTTTATAAGCTTTGGTGCCTGTTCCTGCCTTTTTAACATAAAGTAAGAGAACACGTTGAAAATGTTTAAAACGCTTGAAGGCATTAAAAATTAGGAAATTTCAGAACAGGAAATTGCAGAAGCATTGAACAGGAAACATTTTAAATAGATGTTACTCTTTGAGAAAAATTTAAAAGAAAATTACTTATCGTGTTCTTGCGATGTATATTATGGCAAAAAACTCATACCAAATGTTAGAATTTTGGATGCAGAGGGCAAATAATAGAGTCTAATATACGCTATCGTCTTCTGTATTTATTGTTTGAATTTGGATTTTGTCAACTTGTTGTCTATCTTACCAACATATCGGTTTTTAGAATATTACACGCTTTTTTAAACTTCAGTAACTTATTTATGCCAAAACATTTGAAACTACGTTTATTGAGAATGTTGCTTAGTCTGAAGGTAAAAAAAAGTATATTGAACATTCTATATTACATTTCAGTGTTAAAGAATTAGCCAAACATTGCGGTAAAAAGAATTAAATAAATGTTTTTGAAGGACTTTAATGATGCTACTCTTCTGAACACACGAATGATAAAGAAAGAGGAAAACCTATTATTGATTTGTAGCCTACTACATACATTAGTGGGATCATAATTTTATATACATTTAAAACCCTCTGGACAAAAAAAAAAAAAAAAAAAAAAAAAAGAAGATAAGTGTAAAAGGATTCAGTTTTTAACGGTCGCTTAAAACGGTTTATTAATGTTTTCTACACTCTCGCTGAGTTCGCCATTTGCCAAGTTTGCTGTTTCACTCGGTCTTGCCAACCCATTTCTTTTTGTCTTTTTAGCCTTATTATTAAGCATGATTTTCTTCGAACTTATACCATATACCAGCGGTTCTCAACCTGTTGACTAATGCGTACCATCCAAACAAAACAGTTTACAATGAATATTTTTCAATTTCTCAATAGAAAATTAAAAAAAATATATTTTGCACTCTGAATAACCTATTGGTTATTTGTATTAAATATGCACATATAAAAAATATTAGATTAAAATTGGTTACCATTTTGATTATCAAAATTTAAGTTATAATACTTTAATTCTAAAATTTACTTTGAAATTTGGGCAGATGTTTTTCTTTATGTCTGGTATTTCGCTTAGCTTTAACCGTAAATTAGGATCCATTTTTAATTTGTTTTGCATTTATTTTTCAAATATAGCATAGAAAGAAATTCTTGTTCACACAAATAGATTATGCAAAAAGGTAATCAAAATTTAATAGCTTTATTTGAAAATGCCTTTAAATTCTTTTTTTTTTTTTTTTTTTTTTTTTTGGTTCAGCCAAAAGTTAACGTTATTTTGAAATCTTCAGTTAGAGTTATATCACAGGAAATTTCTATCTATTGTTCTTTTTCTTCACGAGATTTTTTAATTTAATAGCTAAAAATACTTTTTTTTTTTCGTACCATCTAGTTTTCTATTGCGTGCCACCAGTGGTACGTGTCCACCGGCTGAGAATCACTGCCATATACAATTGCAGTACAGCAGAATATGTTTAGAATTCCAGATGCAGTGTTAAATGTTGACATTCATTTTTATAATTTTTTTAATCTTTTCTCACTTTATCATATTGATATTCAGTTTTCTTAGTAGGATGGGTAACAAAATTTTTTCTGCTATGTTTTCTATTGTTAATGTTTTACGCATTAATTTTATTTATTAAATACTACGTTCTTCGCACTTACACCACATAAAATTCAATTCAACAGTAAAATCACAAAATATTTAAAAATGACATATCTTTAGAATTTCCGACAGACAGTCTCGTGTACTGAAGATAAAAATGTTTTATTTCGTGTAGTGGTTACACTGCTCGCTTTCAAATCGTCGAGCTTGTTGAGTCTATAATGATTGTATAGTTTTTAGTATTTTGTTATTTATAGAACGAGGACTATTAATTTCGTTTTGGCATTTCGCCTTGATTCGCTATAAAGGTCTGAATCACTCTTCAGACTGTTGCCACCAAGTATTAGAGCCCTGTATTATATTTAAAGAAATTAAATAATGAAGAATCTGCATGAATGTATGTATGTTTCTGGCATGATGAAAAACAACGGTACTTAGAGACATCAAATTTTGAATAACGGAGTCTTCCACTCAAATATGGGCATCTGGAAGCCCAAATTTGGAATTTGCTTTATTAAATTTGGAATTTGTTTTATTATTTATTTCATATTTGTAAAACTTTAACGAATTTTTGATCAACAAACTCAACAATTTCAAAGCTTTCCATTAACATTAACATCGCTTACATCTTCCCAAGCACGGATATTTTATGCGCGAGGTTTCTTTTTTTCTGTTGAATTGAATTATTTGATTTGAGTTCGAAGAATGGGATATTTAGTAAATAAAGGTAACGCACAAAACGTTAAAAAAACTCCCCTTTAGGTGCAATATATAATCTGAAAGGTTTTAGATTTCATTTATTATTGTTTAATGAGTTAGAAATGTGTCACTTTATTTTGATTTAGGATGAGAAGGAAAATATTCCTGCGAATTTTTATGCTTTTAACATTTTAATACTCTTTTTTTAATTCTTCTTCAAAATTTTTTAAATTTTAAGTTTTTTTTTTCCATTTAATGGTAAAATTTTCTTTAAGGTGTTAGACTTTTCAGATTAGAAACTAATTTTCTTCGCTGCAGGTTTCAGATAATGATAGAATCCAGTTCATTATAAATAAAGATCAGAAACATAAAAATTCGTTGTTGTCAATCAACGATATTTCAAATATTTTATTTGAAGCTATAGTAATTTAAAGTGATATAGTATTTTAAATACATTTTTGTGTAAACATCTCCCGTTCTCTGATATCAAGTTCCCAACTATAATGTTCTTTGCATGTGGTGGTTATAGCGCCTTGTAGCGGCAGAAATATGAACTTCACCATCACCGTTACCGAGAGTATTAGAATATTGCAATCACAGGACCTTCTTAAATTTTTACCGTTGATCCTTGCAGAATGTCTGAAATGTCTTCCGAATCCATCTGCAACTTCTGAGACATTTTATTCCGTCTGGAATTTTAGCTAATACATTGCTAGAAAAGCTTCGTAAAGGCTTAGTTCGCGGGGAAAATAATGATGGCTTCTTTCTGCGTTATTGATCCAAAAGCCATGGCAGCCGGCTAGATCGCAATTGATGTCTGCAGCGCTAAAAATGGTCTTTTCTCGCGTTTTTTGTGCATTTCGATTATGTTATAAATTTCTTGTACAGTAGACAATGTTTATTTACCGCAAATATTCTACATGGCTTTTATGCAGTTTATTAGGACTCGTTTACACACAAGGTAAGTCGAAGGAATTTTTCAGCTGTCTTAGGCTTAAATATATATAAGTTCAATTAAATAGCAATTATTTTTCAATTTAGTATAATTATTTATCGATAATTTAACGGAAAATATTATCCAATAAAGAATAATGATAAATAGAGCTTGTCCGTGAAATTGGGTTTAGCATAAATTGGTTTTGATTCCGCTTTAATTTTACGTCACCATTTTTAAAATGACGTATTTGTGTGAAGGTGTGTATGAGTCCAGTATTGCGAGACGATCTGTATATTTGAGTAGGGCGAAGAGGATATGCATGCATTACATCTCAATTACTGTCGATTCCCTAAGTTTATATGCACTTGTACTTAAATAATGTTTTAGCTTCTAAATTTTCAAAAATCTAAGCGATATGTTTCTCCCTTCGAAAATATTAATCAAACGGAAATGAAAATAATTTGCCTGCGACTTTAACAAACATGAATTTCTTTAGCATAACAAATTTAATTAAAAGGTTCATGAGCTTTACCTTTTATTTTAATGTGTCTGGCAACAGTAGTTTTGTTCTCATATGATGATTTTTTTCGGCATCATTCCTGTCAAATATTAAAGAAACATGGCTGATTACAAAAAGAACACTAGGTTAATTAATAAATAAAAAAGAACAAAATTGGAAATATTTCAAGGAAAATATTGTCTTGGCTATATCAAAATATAAATATTTCAATTTTTTCATTTCTTTAATTAAAAGTACTGTGTAAAACGAGTTTGAAATAAGTAAATATAAATAATTATATAAAAAATTAAACCTATTTATTAAAAATAATTTAAAAACGACAGTTATACATTTTATTATTAGAATTACCAATGTAGTATATGTATTACATGCGAATTATATATAGTACGATCAAAACTACTCCAAAGTATATTGCAAACTGAACTATTTCACTAGCTATCAAAGCAATTTAAAACTTTCATGATTAGGATTTTGATTTTGGTTTTTAAAATGCGTGTTATTTATATTAAAAACGAATACATTAATTTCAGTAATCAAAATAAAAAAACATACACTAATCCAAAAAACTTGCATTGTTTGCTTTATTTATAAACACTTCTTAGAAAGAGTTCTCTATTCAAATTTTGTGTCCTGGCATATTAAAAAGTGTTTTTACTTCAAACGCGAAAAATAATTTTTATAAGTTAGTAACTTCCCGCATAAACGAGCCAGTGAAAAAAGTGCACAGCTACGTGTTAAATAATTAAGTCTTTTTCTCTCTCTCTCTCTATATATACATATTATAAGAATAAATTGAATTTAATTAAAAAAATTAAATTTAAATACATATTTAATTAAGTAAATAATATAAATATACGTGTATTTTATATATATATATATATATATATATGTTATATATCCACACACACAACATCTATTTTTACGAACAGTAGCTATTCATATTTTTCACTTTACACTTTTTAACAATGATTTTTGCTCCTTTTTAACAATGCCTCAAAGTTAGCAACACTTTTTACTCATAAAACAAGCATTTTACATTTTACATTTTTAATATTTACAACGTAGGTTTTTACAATAGCTCTCACAGGTAGCAGCTTCACACTCAACTTTACATTGTATTAGCGCCCTCTACTTATACAGTTGGCAGTACAAACTACTCAACTTCACCTAGTTTAGTAAATGCTATCCACACTAGAAATTCAAATATGTAGATCTAGGTAAGTTAAATTAAAACTTGCTATTTACTAACCTTTTTTTTATTTTTATTTTTATTTTTATATTTTGATTGTTGTATATAGTTTATTCCTTTGGGTGTGAGCACAGACCCTCTTTAACAACTTTAACTTACCTTTCTATAACTTACCTTTCTATGACTTTAACTTACCTTTCTTATTTAAATTACCTTTCTATGACGAATATTGCTTGTATAGTTGCGTTCTATCCCCCCGTAAAGTTTTGTTCCCTTTTTAAGATTCACCGTTATATATATATGAGATTAAAGTACGATTCAAAATAATTTAGTTTTAATTTAACTTAACTTTGATTGGTTAATTTTAAGTTCTGATTTGCAAATTTGAACTTATTATTGGTTGAATCGTTGTGTAAATAAATGCCTGCATTATGAGCGGCGTGAATAATCATGTGAAGAATATTAATTTTGAAGTAGCGCAGTTTAAAAAAGGTTTATAAAAAGCAGTTACTGATTTTGAGATGGAAAAGTGAAAATCAAATTAAAATTTATACCCAAAATTTCCTTGCAAATTTAAATTTTGATTTATATAGTTTTTGTCATACTTATGTATTAAGTGCAAAAAGCTCAACCTGGTATTAATTTGCGATAAAATAATATCGCAAGAAGTTTTTATTTATTTTTCTTGGCACTAATATTTTGAATAGCTTGTTTTAAATATCAGGTTTTGTAATCTGTAAGCATGTTTTAAATCTAAGATTTTATATTCTTTTCCGTGTTAAGGTAAATTTCAGTAAAGATTTATAAATAATTTGCATAGCCATAGCAACTAGTTCTTCATTACAGCAACAAAATATTCACGTGAAGATGATAAAGAACGCAACTGCTATAAGCACCATATGTAGGCTTGCCAGATTTCAGAAATGTTCAACCGAGACACCGGAATGCCCCCGGCGTCGTGGATATTCAAGGGCACACATCCTTGGCGGTTTTTTGGAGTGTTTTAGAGGGTCGTTTATTCTCAATGTTATGAATAAATGGTTACCTTCTAGAAACCTAAACCATGGATAATAATAAATGACACAAGCATATAAATTTAAACATTTATTTCTTACATGCAAATATTTAAAAGTTACTTAAGTAAGAAAATACACGTCAAATGAGGAATAAAAATTTGAACAATATTTACATATACTTTTCATTGGCTAGGACGTTTTTTAGAAAATCTATTTTTGGTTTTAATCTTGTTATAAAAATCTTCACAAGCTAATCCGGTATTAATTTTACATGCCATCAAACCTTTAATCGTACATTCCTTCATCAAACCCCTATCATCAGTCCATGTGTTGTTCATCAAACAAATTATTCTCTCAATTGGTGCTGATGTCCCAGGTAAGCAGAAGACATACTCAACAATCTTGAGAGGACTGCTATGTGATTCTCCTTGAAATGATCAAACAGTCTGAGCCACTTTTCTTCACTTGAAGTAATCATATCTCTCGTAGACTCTTCTTGCTTCCACTGTTCCCAATTTGACTGGAAATACTCCTTAGCAACCACAACTTCGTCAAGCAGCTGATCAGTGTTTATTTGCACATCGGGTACATCAAGAAGGCTGCTGTTAATCATTTCAGCAAAAGTTTCGGCGTTTTCCAATTAACAACATTTGTTTCGGTCAGATTGACCCAAGAAAACTGTTCAGCATTTTCAAAACTATTCTCCCAGTGGTCCAAGTATGCAATGCATCTTTGGAAGCCATCAAATTCTTCTTTTACACTGTAACGGACTTGCTCGTCTAGGTTAATGTAGATGTTCTTTACGCCCATAGGGATAAAGTTTTCTTTCTTTCTGTCATGTTTCTTTTGAGAGCTTTTTGAGCTTCAGCAATCTCAAACGCTGTAGTGATTTCTTTTCTCATTACCAGGATGGCCTTGTTAAAGAGTGCAAGCTGTCCGTGGACAAACCACAAACACATCTTTCCCGTTAAACCAGTAAATAAATTTTTTGGTCTAAAAGAAAACGCTTTCAGATCTTCAAAAATCTTTAAAATTCTTTCCAGCTCGGGCATCATTGACAGAAATCGGGTGTTCGCGTGTTGAATGAGTCTACGGTACTGTATCTCGGCATATTCACAAAATTCTTTTAGTTTAGTTACACGGACTGTGTGTACATGTGGAAGTATTTATAAATCTTCAAGAGTAAGGCACCAATATCGATTGGGAGACTGTCTAATGCAGTTTGCACACAGTTGTGCACAATGTATGCTCCACATCCGATTCCACTGATTTTCCGTCATAGGCTATTCTTGAGTCGATAGAAAACATTGTTTTGCCCTGCTTTTTTCACACCACCGAAGTTAGTGTTGCAGTTATCTCCACAAAAGCCCACTACTTTATTGTTCAAATCGTTTTTGCAGCAGGACAGAGCATAAGTAATTTGTAAGAATTTCAGATGTTTCCCTCGCCACAGATTTGAAATCTAACAGCTTTACTTGCACACCTTAATTAGTATTAAAGTAGCGCAAAACAAATTGGCTCAAGTTTTATAGTCCTTTCTGCTTGATGCATCCATACTTCAATACGTAGTTTGACGTGGTCAAGTCTTTTTTAAGCTCTTCTTGAGCTAAAGAAGCTACGGCATTTAAAACTTTTACCTCACACTTAGTTTTTCCGAGTGAGAATTTAGGTTAAAGAAATTTAGAAATTAGCTTTGACGAACAAGAATTCGAATTGAAATTTGGGCTATTGTTTGCTGTATGGTAAGCAAAGGTCTCCTCTTTCGATGCTAAGTTTTTATCATTAGAACTCGCAGTCCTAAGAAAAACCGGTCAGTTTTGAAGAGCTGGCAGCACATGCTAAACTCTTTTTGTGTTTACTAGATTGCAAATGATCTTTTATATCGGATTGACCACCGTGAACAACAGAAAACTCAGAATTACAATGTGAACATTTAACTCTATGATCTTGCTAGCCAGTACATACCTTTTTTAAAAAAGGGAATTCATTCTGTAAATCCTCGGCGAATTTACACGACCATTGTGGCATTTTAACAGAAAACGCATAAATTTTAACTTAAAGCATAAATACAACAGCGCTAACTCACTAACACAACAGACACCTCCGAAAGAGACTGACAACTGACTGACTTATCTCTATCGCATGCAGCTAGCGCCGAGTCCAGAAAGCCTGTCGCATCGCGCATGGTCACGATTGGCGAGACAAGACAATACGATGACAGTATTATTTATTGGCAGATCATCACTCTTCTATAGTTTTCATCTTTCATACAGTACAGAGATAACTGACAAAGTAATTATCCTAAATAATACTTAAAAGTTAATTATTTTTAGACTTTTTTGGTCATCTATAAAATCAAATTTAATTTTTGCCGGGACGAGTTGTAAACCGGCCGGGACACCGGGATTTTGTCTGAAAACCAGGACGTCTGGCAAGCCTAACCATATGGAACCATTTTCCGGTTTCGGTGAGAGTAAATAAATGCACTCTTCATCTTTTTCTTAGCTGTAGATCGGGACATGATTCTCAGTTCTGTTTATTTTTACTGAGATAACAAATTTAAATTACTTATAACATAAAGGGAAATATAATAACATTTATATAACAAATTAATTTTCTAAGTGCATATGACATAAAGACGACAGGACGATGACATAAACTAAATCTGAAAGTCAGTGCTTGGTAACTTAACAAAGTGTTGATCAGTGGTATTGTAAAGACTGCAGTATTTGTTCGAAGATTCACCTGAATATAGACTTCAGCAATAATCAGTTATGCCTTCTTTATATCTTCCAACAGTTTTCGGATGTAGATCATGGTTACTAGTTGTTAATTATTCGAAGATATAGAAGAATGAGGAGCCAGTTATTATGGAATTCTATTCTGGAGTTGGTCTGTGGGCGAAAACTCTGATAACCGTCTGAACAAAGCCAAAAGCGGTTAAATTTAAATATGAAGAACTCCTTAACATTTACACACTGGCATTCGACTATTCAGCGTTTTGTCTTCTTGACAGATAACAAGAACCTTTATCTGTGGTGATCTGCAAACAGAATATTATAATTCTGTTCATTATACCTGCTAATCCCATAAATTGGGTATGCAGGTTGAGCAGTATTTGGTTTACTATCTTAAGGATACCGAAAAATTATTGGATATGTCTATTTTGGCATTTTAAATTTCGGTTTCCTAAATAAACTTTTGGGAATTATTTTATCATTAATCGGGAAAAATAAATTTCTTTATCAATTTCTGGACCCCGATGAAATATATTATTATTGGAAGATGTTTTAATGCTGCTGTGGTTTTAGGCTGGATACTAAACTGGTTTCAATTTTCCTTTTTTCATTAATGAAACTATAGTAAATAATGCATGGTTAGTGTTTTTACTCGTTTGTGCGATCCTGATCTTGACTTAGATTCTAGATTAAGTATACGAATTTTATTGTGACCAAAAGAGAGATAGTGCCTCCTGTGGGTGGTCAAGGTCATGGGCATCCTATAAGTAATAGTCCGTCTTCTTCCAGTTCTGTCCTAACTTCAAAGGAGAACATTCCAAGTAGGGGAGTATTGCCTCTTCCTCTACTACCAATCTCTGGAGGAGTTATTGGCCTTTTTAGTCCTCGACATTTTTAATGCCCGCTGGCTTCGGGAATAATATACTTTTACAAACATCGTTTACTGTCGCACCGATTACAGTGGTACATTTGCTTCTATGTTACCATTATACTCTATGAACTACTTTAGTTAAAGCAGCTTTCTCTTCGACTAATGTAGTTTATATGCTATGTAAACAGATTTACGAAAATTTGGTAATGTAGTACAGAAACTATATCTGCTGTTGTTTTTACTTATGCTCACTTTTCTGACAGCAACGAAGCCCATGAAAATCCTCGTAGCAGGAGAGCGCCCAAGATACGCCTGTCGTTGGCAATAGCCTTGAGCACTTTACATGTAACAGTGCGATTTTTGCTCAATTGCACCCCAATTTCGATGGACAGCACCCTGGGGGGACATGTCCAAGTGTTTCTCACCCCTCTCCCCTTCCACCAAATTACACGAAAAGACTTTCGGCTTGCCGCATATTTAGAGTGCCGCCATGCCGTACCGACGTTCCTCGTGATTGGAACCTGAGCCTTTCGGCACGGCAGTCAGCGACGTTAACCACTATACCGGTTGGGCGGCAAATTTACATCTTGTTTACATAACGTGTAAACTTCATTATGGTAACGTTATATATGAATTACGTTACTCAGCGTAAAAGTAATATGGTATAGTTGTGTACCGGTTATTAAAGATCTCAGTTTTCTATTTTTGAAAAAAAAATTCCTAATTTTAGTTTAATACTTTTTAATTTAACATTCATTAAAAGAACGAAAGAATCAAAAATCGAATATTTTTTCCAAGTGAAATGGAATCAAATATTGTCAATATATAAAAGTGTGTAAAATTATTAATATTCTATATTGATCCACAGTTCCACCGAAGCTTGCCCCTCTTCCACGAGAACTGGAGTTCAAGAGAGGAGAACGTTTCCAACTCGTCTGTTCCTGTCGTGAAGGTGAACCTCCCCTTACTTTCAGCTGGGTCCGGGACGGGCAAACTTTGGTCGAGAGCATCGAAGTGCAAGTGCGACGTTTTGACGAATTCTCATCTTCCATCACGATATCGGCCTTGAGAGAGGATCACGCCGGGAACTATACTTGCATCGTTTCCAACCAGGGTGGAAGTGACAGTTCCACAGTCAAGCTAAGAGTACTCGGTAAGAAGCTTTGGATACAAAGCAGTTTAAATCAACAACAAACTTGGAAAACGAGAAAGCTCAAATTTATTTTAAACATGTCTCGAATTCGGCAACAAAAATCAACGAAATCTGCAGTCAGAACAAACAATATGCACAAATTCTAATTAAATATATTTATGATGATTGCCAGTATATCAATAAACAATAAATGGAAAAAAGAGCATCTAATTGGCTGTTATTCTACTTAGCTTCTGAGTAATTTCAAAAGAAATTAATTTACCTAGGCAACTTTAACTCCTTTCTAAGTCTACTATTAATTTCTTGCAGCAACTGTGTTTATGCCTGTGCCGAATGGTCATATGCTGGCTAAATGGTAGTAAGAGATTACTTAATCACTGGCGTCTCCCAGCTAGTGCCAGTAACACCAGAAACATTTCCGAAAACAGAGATAAAATCATTGATTTCCTCTTCAAAGATTTTTAATATAAATAAGGAACTCAGAACAAAGACAGTTGAAAAATGGACTAAGCACAACGCATTAAGCTTCTGATCTCTTTCAGCTTCCTTATGTAAGTGAAATGAAATACATGAACAAAAGCTGGATCTCTAGCTTATGTATATGCACATTTCTTAAAATGTCACCAAAATTATATCAACAATTTCGCCAAAGTTTTGAAAAGCTGAACTCTTTATATTTATAAGGGCTATTGAAGAGCTAAAAGCAGTTATGAATCTAATAATATATATATATATATATATATATATATATATATATATATATAGATGTACCAGCTTTTGTCCGGAATAAATAGATTGGTGAAGAAATATAGATGTAGTCGTAGTTTAAATTATCAGACGATAAGTTTAAAAAAGAGGATCCATTTATTATTGGTTAGGATAAATAGCAGTTACAAAAATCATATTTCCAGAGTAAATAAAAAAGAATTACTAATAACTTTTTGTATGAAGTTTACTGCATAGTTACATTAAAAAAAAGCCCCCGATATTTCTTTGCGAGTCCTTTTATAGCCTCTGGAAAGGCGGAGCTTCCAAGAAATGACGTCAGCCTCGTCAGACATTCCAGTTCTCTTTAAATATCTCTAGAAGATTCTAAAACTGTACGTGTAGAAAAGGCGGGAAAACAACTTGACTATTTGGGCTGTGGATTTGTGGCTGTGGATTTAATTCCCCGTACTTTCAAATTATTGGGCTGTGGATTTAATTCCACGTACTTTAAAATAAGAGACCGTCACCATTAAAAATGAAAAGAACATACAGTTAGAATTTTAAGTGTATTCTTGACTATGGAATTTTATTATTACATATATATAGTAAGAATAAAAATATACACTTATGTACTCAAATTTATGAGAATACAAAACATAGGTAGATATTTCCAAAATTTTATACTGTATACTCACTAAGTCAATTCCTGTCATAGAATCCGTTTTGCTTAGGTGATTAATTTTCAAATGAGGTTTATTAGAATCCTGCTCTCATATACTTTACAAAAAAGGTATTATAAATCGGCTATGTATTTAAGTGGATTTATATCTACATTTGCAGTTGCGCCTACGTGGTTGCGTCAGCCGTATGACATGTCAGTGCTGTCGGGGGCTCGAGTGACTCTGAACTGCGAGACGGCCGGAATACCTAAGCCCACAGTTACTTGGAGAAGAAGTAAAGGTAAAAAATATTTTATGTATTAATTAATTAAAAAAATCCTTTTTAAAATCGTTGTAAAATTATGAGATCTGTCAAAAAGTTTTCGAATTTGATTTTTTACATTTTTTTTTGCTCGCATCTCGGCAAGACTTCAACCTCATCGCCTTTGAAGTAATTCTTTTTGTAGACAGATGCATCATTTCCAACGCCATTATCAATTCGTAATGCATTCCGGGTAAGCCTCTTTCGAAGTTGCACCTAATTCTTCCTGCGAATTTTCGTTTATCTCGTGAATTATGCTGAAAATTTCGTTGTTTTAAATTAACTTTAGCTTCAGATAAAAAAAATTAATCTGCGAGAGTAAGGTAAAAACAATAACATTGCTGAGAAAGCATGGCTTTTTCATTTTTTTGCACAAAACTTTCTTTTAAAAGGGATGCGAATACAAGTTCGTTAACGTGATGCTAGAGCTAAGATTTGGTTACCAATTCAGAAGTCAAACAACAAAAAACAGAGTTACATCCTCAAACCTTCACAGGACCAGCCTCGATGGTTTACCGAACCAGCATCCTCAGCTGCAAAAGCGAAAAAAAAAATAAATAAACGCTAATTTTTGTTGTTTGACTTCTGAATTGGTATTTGTTTGGCGTGTTATTGCATCTTAATTAAGATTTGGTTATCCCAAATTCAAGTCTCTCTCTCGGAATGTGTTCTTTTAGTCACCTCAATAAATACTTCAAGGTAATATTTATGATTTATTATTTGCTCATTTGGCAAAAATTTGAGATGGATGCCGAAATGATGACGCCCTTGACGCCAAAAAGGCAATCAATATAATTCTGATTTTCCATCTGACCTGCTGCTGAACCAAATGGCGTTATCCCAGAAGGGCTATTAATTTCGTTTTGGCATTTTGCGTCGAAAACTTTAAAAGTCTGAATCACTTTTTAAATTGTTGCTACCAAATATTATTGCCCATTACTATATTTAAAAAAATTAAATATTGACGAATCTGCATAAATGTATGTATGTTTCTCGCATTTTGATTAAACAACGATACCTAGAGCCATCAAAGTTTTAATAACGTACGTCTCCGCTCGCTTATGGGCATCTGGAAGCCCAAATTTGGAATTTGCTTTATTATTTATTTCATATTTTGTAAAGCACTAATGTGTTTTTGATTAAGGAACTCCACTAAGCGAGCAATGCCAACAGTGTACGAAAAAAAAGCACTTTTATTTCCAGCGCGCGAGGCTGTGTATCGGAGATTCTTAAGATATGCTCTTTTTAAATTATTTTGGGATATTACTGTTTAATTGAATTTTATGGTTTAATTGCGAAGAACATGATATTTAATAAATAAAAGTAACACACAAAACATTAAAAAAAGTGGGCGTAATATAAAATCTGAAAGCTTTCAGATATTTTTATATTATAATTTTTTTTTAAATTAATTTTTGTTTCTTTTGAGAACCGGTGCATTGAGATACTGTGCTTGTGTTTCATATCAAAGTTTAAAACGATACCTCATAATATGGTGGTATGATTCAGATGTTTCAGTAGGTAGCGGTTGATTTCTCTATAGTTAATCGTAAATTCGAATGCACGATTTCATGAATACCCTGATAGAAAGTCATCATTAGTTTGTTGGCTACCGTTTAATCGCTTAAACAACGCAGCCTAATACCACAATGACCAACGACTATAGCTATATCAGAGCAATTTTTTCTGGAAAAGAAACATTTAGCTGTACGAAAAGAAGAATTACATTGCCATTTAATCTGTCCTAAGTATGAATTTCATTATAAATCATTGATCCTGATTTTCGAATTCTAGTTTATGAATAAATAAACATAGATCTTCAAGTATATATTTTATTTAATTTTCTCATTAAATACTGCTGTTTTGAACAATCATTCTCCTCTTTCACCTAAAAATCAAGCACATTTTGAACTTTTGTTTACTTTATAAGGTATTGTTTTCGCCTTCCTAGCGTGCCTTCGTGGTGTAGTGGTTCTGCACGCTGGGCCGGTATCCAAAGGTCTATGGTTCGATTACCGGCTAAGGCGATTGCTCATTTTTCATCTTGCCTTCTTCCGAAAAATACCTGATGTGTCTACAACGTTTTATTTCCAATAACTGCGGCAGTGGAATTTTCAGCTTTGAAATTTTTTTGCGGAGTGTTTAAACTGTTTTGGAAACTTATGTTAAGCTTACTTTAGGCTATTTTTATTATGCATTTATCATCTATGTGTCTTGGCAAGTATTGCCACTGTATACAAAGCATGGTACTGCTTCACGCTAATAATTATCAACTGAAGGGTCACCAGGGAATAGTGGTTTTTATAGACATTTATATACTTCATTTAAATTTTATTTTAACATCATCTCTGAGCTTAGTACACAGCCACACATTGATCGCTTACGTGTTGTTTGCGAGTGATTGTTAACTCGTAGGTCCTTCATGGTCATCTTCAGCGTAGACTATTTTAATAATCTATTTGATTGATATAATTTTAAAAACATTTACTTTATTTGCTCAACTGATGATTTTTATAAATATCTGAAGCCTAATTTTGAATAATAAAAGATGTTTTTGATGTCGTTTATTACGTACCAGGTATCGCGACAAAAACATCGTGAAACAAAGCAACGTGGGCTGAAAAAAAACAAGGAGAAAATAGCACACTTCTAAACCATCCTTGTATTAAGCATTATCGCAAAAAATATTGCGGTTCAGAAATTTCGTGTTTTAAAACATCGCGGTAAAAAATAAAGCACCTAAAATTCCTCGCATAATGATAACGCATCCTCGTATGATGATCGCAGACATATGTTTCCAGACCTTAAAAACTTTAAAAGCATGTTGGCGTATTGTTTTGTGGGCGCAAGAAGAAATGAGGAATACCTCTATATTTCATATTTTTTAATTAATTAATAAATTTCCACTGAAAAAGCAAGTAAACTCAAGCATTCAAAAACTGAAAATGACTACAAAATTCTGAATATAACAGTTAATAGAATTTTAAAACCAATAGGCATTATTTAATAAATCTCTTTCATAAATTTGTATTGGTAGTGAGAAAATGAATTTAAAACTTTTTCAAAGGTCTGAAAATACATATACCTATGATGTTATTATCTTGCGATGACTTTAGATGCTTTGTTTTTTAACGCGATATCGTTTCCAACGATGTTTTAAAACTATGATGTTTTCGAATTGTTTCATTCTTTTCTTTCATGATGTTTTGTACAAGGATGTTTTTCCTCTGGCTAGTTCTCTTCACAATGGTTTTGCCAGGCCCTTTTTCGGAGAACACTTTATATGCCGGGTAAACAATCTTCTACGATCCTTGTATTGCTTAATGAGATAGAAATCTAATCCCGGTGACGGACTGGCTGCATGAACGCTTTTGTGGCTTTCCCCATGTAGAACATGAATACAAGCCAAGTTCCTTTATAAAGTCCTTTCCGAAGACATCCCTTCCCTTAGGCAGATAGGCCTCGTGTGATTATTCATATTCAAACAAACCAAAGCAATCTAGGTAGGAACTAAAAGATATAATACGTTTACATTAATAAAAGTCAATTTTTGATAGCGGATAAATAATAAATAATTATAACATCCTTGGAAATATTGAAAATTATTAATTGTTAAAAATAACAGAAATTACTATTCTAAAATGATTGTAGAATATCTTAGAATCAGTTAAGAAATATTAGAATGGTATTAATTTCATTACTTTTTTTGAAATCACGAAATTCTGATTATGAAAAACTTTTATAATATCTAATATGATAATAGGTAAAAGTATTTAAATGCATTTGAAGTTAGAGGTGTTTACAATCTATGAATACTTAATCTTTTAATAGTGAACCAAAAACCTGTTAAGTAAAGTTAGAAGATCTGAAGGAATAGGTTGAAGAAGACTTTAATGAAACCATGAAAATCACTTCTCGAGAAAAACGGCCCCGTCATCTCCGACGGTCAGGCATCAATGAATACTCTATGGAGTGTTGCGTTGATACTCCTATCAAAAGACAACCTTTCAGTTCTTAAAACACATAAGGAAAAAGCAGTCTCAAAGTGCATAAGGAAAATGCAAAAGCGAGAAGTCATTAGAATAAACCATCATCTGTTACGACGGCTATTAAAAGCCAACAACTGGGGCATTTCTATTACAATGAAATGCTAATTACGATATTAACTATTCAATTGTTTTATGTAAATCAATTTTCAAAACAGAAAGAGGCTTTATTGGGTGATCAGTAAATTAATGGCAGAAGTAATCTCACAAAAGAAATAGGATGTCTTCATATTTTGCGTTAAGATTGCGCTCTAAGGGAAATTCTAATTCCGTTTTCGTGCTTCACATAGTTACGCTAGATATAGATTGTGTAATAGAGATTTGTATGCAAAGCAGTACTAATGTAAGGTTTTTTAAACTATAAAGATGAGATTTTCTTTGCTTTGTAGTACGGAAATGTTGCTGCTTGATTGTTCCTAGGAAAATGCAGTTGAGATAGTCTTTTTAGTCTTTTTTGAAACTTCCTTCTGGGTTTGAAATGATTAGATTAATAGAGGTAAACTTTGCAATAGCTACATTATTATCCTCATAAAAATATTCATAATATATACTCAGGTTGTAGAATTGTTGTCTGTTTATCGAAAGTTTTAATATAGAAAATCTGATGTGAACACCACATGACTTGGATGGCTTATTAAATTACACACATTTTCTTCTGCAATTCATTTAAAATTATTTCCTCGAATTTCGTTAGAGCTATGTTAAATCAATTTCTCATTCACTCATCTCGCGACGAGGCAGAAATGCATAATAAGCTCAAAACACTCTTCATTAAAAAGTGTAAAATACAGAAAGACTTAACACCGAAAAAAACAACCCAGTTAAAAAATCATTAAAAACAGTTATAAAAGGAAATTTTTTAATTAAAATTAGAGTATCTACTTAAAAACAAGCAATTCGGCCAACGGGCAAAAGATATAGTTTTTGGTTCGCAAACAATTAAAAAAGTGTTTGGTCCCACTACGCAAAAAGACACTGAAATTGGTGCACCAACTGACTTAATTCACTATTCTACTAAGAGTTTCAAATGTAAAGAAATAGCCTCCATATTAAGCCTAGCGTGAATGAAACTTTTAAATTGTTGATAACTCTGCAACTTTTTTACATACAGATTAACCAAAGGTATAAAAACCTTAACCGGAAGATAAAAACAACATAAATTAATCACATTTAAAGCAAAACATGCACAATTTACCGAGATATAAGAATAAAAAAAACAGAGCTCACCAGGGAATAAGAGGCTGAGTATATATATATATATACGTTAGTGCGGACGACTTTTAAACAAAAAAGAGAAATGTACAACATTTTAGCTGTCCCATATACAAAATTACGACTAATGCGAGATACATATAAGCGTACGTAGGTACGTACAGACGTCACGAAAAAAATCCTTTTTGAACCCATTTTACAATAGTTTTTGGAAAAAATAATCTTATTCTGTCAGTACTTATAGATGTCATGAAAAAAAAAAAAAAAAACGTTCAGTTAGATTCGAGAGAGGTCAAAATGGATATTTTCGTTGAAATATTATATCCGAAATTTTTTGCGGATAATGCTTTTCCTTAACTTTGAAAAAGGAATTAAAAATCTTGCGCTCTTATATTGTCAAACAGCAAGGCCGTTTTCCAGTCAAGGTGTATGTCATTATTTGTCTTGAAAATCTCCCAGAATTAGTCTCTCTGTTTTATCGGAACATGACACAACAGACTTAATAAAGTTAATGTCGGAAAGAACAGTGGGAAGAATTAACATAAAAAATATTACAAATGCTTTCCGTAAGAGTCTTATAAGCCCCAAAAAGTCAAGAGCAGTTTAAAAAAAAATAACTTTTAGGGAATATGCTAAATCTTCATATGGCTGGTATTTTTCAGTTAGATACCATGCTGAAAAGAACAAATAAAGGATTTTCAAAAATTTAAATTTATGAGATGAGGGTTTGTGTTACTGAAAATATATGAAAGATATCTGATTTTCGACAATTTGCGGTTCACAAATTGTTTCAAATAGTATATACGGCTGGAATTTCTACGTGCAACATTGTCCTTCACCAGAACCAACTATTTAAGGAATACTGACTTATGTTGTAATTAATAATAATAAAGAAAGAATTTAAAATCGAAAACAACTGTAAAAAGATAAATGCATCTTATAGTTGTCGAAGTGCTATAAGATGCATTTTTATATCAAATTTCAAGTTGATAAAGTTTTGTAAGCACAAAAGGAGTGTTTAGGAGACTCATCTAATTACTTCACATGTACTCAAAAGATACTTGATGATTACTTCCCATAAGGAATTAAATCAGCCAAATTAATGCTCTGCCCTTCAAAAAAGATTCAGGGTAACGTATCTTTTAGTATCGTTCTCATTTCTAGACTCTTTTACTATAATACTGCTATTAAATCTAGCACCAGTATAATCAGAGCTATTTAGAAACTAACCCTTGCCAGCAGGTACTTTACTGAAAAGGTTACTTAACACTGGATTTGGTAAGTAAAATATATCGTGTTGTTGCACTTAAGAAAGTTAATATCAAATCTGTGTAAAAAAAAGTTCTTGTTAAGTACATAATTTGATACATTTTCCCCAGATGTATTATTTCTAGTTACTTTTTTCGGTGCATGTTTTGTGTTTCCTTTTTCATTACAATCGCTTATTTTTTTAAATTTCGGAAGAAGTTTAGTGTTTATGGCCTTTGGCAACTTGCTTCTGTTTTTTTTATTTCAGGTTTCAACTTACAGCAAATGGAAACACTGACCGTCACCCACTGGCGGACAGGAGAAGATGGTAGTTTGACTACATCTAGCGCCAAAAAAGAAGACGAAGGCTTTTATTCGTGTGAAGTCGCCAATGGTGTCGGCGAAGGACTTCGGAAAACTGTCAGAATTGAGGTCCAAGGTAAGAAAAATTAACTGTCGTTGGTTATCTACTTTGCCTGTTTTTATTATCAATTCAGAAACAAACTATTGATTTAAATACAAGTATATATTTACGGGTTTGTTAAATAAAAATTCTCACCTTAAATAAACAACAAGGTTATTGGCTTCCCCGCCCCGTGAACTAAATCACACTACGGGACTACTCCCCCTTTGGGCACTTCGTGGAGGTTCAACCTCCATTATTACCCTTCCAGGGAAGCAGCGCACTACCTGGATATGACTCCAGGCAGCACTGGTCGTCAATTGCTCCTGCCAGTCGCATGGGCGAGCCCGTCGCAGTAGGCCGTTACCCAGCAAACCGAGGGGAACTAGCCCTCCGGCTACGTTCCACACCACTCAGGACATGCCAGACACCGAGGCCGGCCAATAAGTGACCTTTCCCATGCCCTTCAGAACCACCAAGTTCATAAATTTTATACCCCCGTGGCCGAGATTGCCTAGGTACAGATCCCAGCCAGTAGCTTCGCAGAATTTTCTACGTCGACATCCGGGGGGGGGGAGGTCACCTTAAATAAACACAAATCTTTGAAATCAAAAACAGTTACCATACTAAGCTCGAATACTAAATACAGGCAAAACTAACTAAATGCGTTTTCTTTTAAAATAAATCAATGGAATAAATAGTAATTCATGTTAATATGTTTTTTAAGTGTTAAGCTTGGTAAAGTCGAATATGGTTTTCCGATGACTATTTTTTAAGACGGAGGATTCAGAGCCCAGTGCATTGCTTATTAGGGTAATCTTAATTTTGATTACAGATAACAGTAATAAATTCAGAGAGGATTGTCATCCCGATATAACCTATCTTCCGGATGTTTTACGTCCGTCCATCGACGTAAAATTTCCAGATTTAGGAAATGCCGACTCATTTTCTTTTTCAATTTATATTTTAAGATAAATGTATCTTTCAAAGATTTTACAAATTAAAACTTTTAGAATATATAAAGTTCACGTGAGAGGTCCAAACAAGTAAAGAATTCAGGGCCAATGCAGTATTCATTAGAGTGATTTTAATTTTGCTTACGGATAAAGATAATAAATTCAGGGATGATTGGGATCCGAATATAGCTTGTCTTTTTGGTTTTTCTACTTTCTTAAATGAATTTCTGAAATGCAGACTCATTATCTTTCTCAATTTTTATTTAAAAATATTATCATTCAGATATTAAATAAATTAAGAACTTTTATTCTATTTAAAGTTCATGCGAGAGATCAAAATGCATAAACATTTCAGGATAATTTATTGAATAGCTGGAAAATTCACCAAAATTTATAGCACCCAAATTAAATTAAAGATAATTATTTATTTAAATTCAAAGATAATTATATATGTAACATTGACTGGGACTGCAGTTAATAATAATAATAACAGCAAATCTATAAAATTAAAAACAATGATTTAAAAAAGTGTTTTTTAAATTCTGGAAGGATTCAGATTTTAAAGATCGGCCAAAGGTATCATCTTTTAAAGTTTAATATGTGTAGTATAGGTTATCAACAGAGATGGCCCAGATTTAAAAGCAAAACATTTTACCCGATATTAGATGAATGTGCTTTTAGACTAATATGGGAACGTTATACTTGTATATCTTTTGTAAATTTCAAAAGTGAAAAAATATGTAATGTAATTCTATAAAAATATTTAATGTTTTTAATTAGATGTATCATGAATTAAATGCATTTTTATTTTAATCAGTAAGTTTAAAAAGAGAAAAAATAATATAAGAACTGCATCTATTGTTTAAATGGTTTAGTTTATTAATTAATAAAAGACAGATTAAAAATGAAAGAATAGTATCTTACGTTTTCTCGATTGGCAATAGACTCGAATGAAAAGCGTGAAAACGTAAAATCGTGTTTCCAGACTAATAGTACCTTTGTGCTAATGAAATAAAAAAATTAAAACTTGAAAATTATAAAATTAGAAACAGTTAAAGTAACCTTGATTTGGTTTGAAACTAACAATAATAACAGCACAAATCTTTTTTATAAAAATTGAAAAGCTAATCATTTCAAGTTGATAAAAGTGTCAACGAGATTAAAAAGAAGATTTATGTAACTAATACTTTACATACACCCAAAATAAATTTGTCTGCTCGTTGCTATGTATGAAATTAATGTAAGTTAATATTATCTTCTTTAAGACATTATATATGAAATGAATATAAGTTAATATTATCTACTTTAAGACATTATGTAGGAAATTAATATAAGTTAATATTATCTACTTTAAGATATTATGTATGAAATTAATGTAAGTTAATATTATCTACTTTAAGACATTATGTATGAAATTAAGTTAATATAATCTACTTTAAGACAGATTTAAGTCATGTACTATTTTTGTGAAAGATAATTATCTGACCAAAATATTATCGAAAGATACTGTCTTTTATCTTTTGGAATTGCCTTATCGTACTGCCAATACTAAATGACAAGTTCAATTTCAATTAATTATTTTTTATATTGAAGTTATTTTTTACTGAAGTTATCTTTTCCCAAATAACAGCGAATTTTGAAACTGTAGGCAAACATAAATAACTTTAATTTTCAATATGAATTGTATACAAAGTCTTAAAAATGTGTAATCTTCTTGTCCAACCCTCAAAATAAAACTCTCTGTCTTTTTTAAAACTGGTTGATTGAAACTGTATTCAGTCACAGCAGATTTTCCCTGAATTCTGGATTATGTGCACAAGAATAATCATTTTTGAGGATTACACGTGTATTGGTATCCCCCTGCCTTCAAAAGAAGACAATCGTCTAAAAGTGATTATGCTAGAACTGAATAATTTAAAAACAAAAAACTTTTATTTTTGTGGTTAACCTCAGTGCTAAACCCTCAGAGGAAATTTAGAGCTAAATAATATCTGGTGGAAAACTACAAGCGAAGAAAGCATGAAAAGGTGTCTAAAGATAACCAAAATCGTAAATGAAAGCAAGGTACTTCGGATGCAGTGAGTTGAGCCATTATATATTAAAATTAAATGCTCACATAGCTCTTAAAAGGGGGGGATATAACACACTTTTACCGCCTAAAGAAAAATATATAATTTATTTAAATTTTTTATTATTACAATTTAAAAGAGCATTCTCTACCTCTTCAGTAAAAAGCTCAGAAGAATTCACCTTTAATTGCATGCTGGATCATTTTTCGATTATCCATTTTTTGCAGTTAACCGTGCATTGCATGCGTGGGTAATTGGGAATTTCATGTATTTTTTCCTTGGATGTTTGCAAAACGTTTTAATTTTGCTCTTTTTACAGTTCCTCCTAGCGTGACTGTGATGGAAGCAGAGAAGACAGTTAAAAAAGGAGACTCCACTACACTAAGATGTGACGTAACTGGAGATATCCCTTTGACAATCACATGGGGTAAAGCCAATAAAAATTTACCTCTCATCAGCGAAGATAGGTAATTGAGATTATGCTTACCTAGTTTAATAGATACAAAAGTAAGGCAACGTGGTTATACAGCTTGGAAGAACCAGGCAAAAATATCCGCATTTTAAGTGATTTAATAAAGAAAAAATTATGAAACCTACTTCGGATAAATAATGAAATAAAGCCTACTTTGGATAAATAACTTGCAAAATATGAGTAATTTAATGATAATAAATAGATTTTGATAGTTATAATTAATAATTTTCTCTAATCAAGATTCCAAATTTTTACAATAATTTGAAATATTTAGTAAGACATGTCTGTAAATTTTATGAGCAGCTTATTCGCTATTTTTTTCGATTTTTAAATAAAGATTTTTTTTATTTCAAATCACTTAAGAATTAGAAGATTTTTTCCCTTCTTCTTACTGTTTTTCTTTGATATATTAACCACCATTCTCTAATATTATATCTGCTGTCTTCCCAAACTTACTTTTTTAAGACTTGAAATTGATTCTAAAACTATGGTTTCTTATTCCATATCATTTTTTTTGGATTGCAATATTTAAATTATGGAATTTTTAAAGTAAATTTAAGAATATTTGCCTTCCGCATACTTGTTCAATGTATTTGAACTTTTATTTCAGAAAGAGTGGTATATTTCTTTAAAGTATCTAAATTTAATTATGTTTGCAAAGCAAATAAAGATTTGCGTTTGAATGAAAAGTATGTAAAATATTCAGTGCAACTTCAAAATGGTCACTTGCACTTCAAATCTTGTGGAACGATAAAAACTAATTCTTAAGCCAATCTTTAATTAATTAAACGTGCAACGTTCCTTTTTCTATTTGACAGGTTTCCACAACTGTGAATTTGAACTAAAGTTTATAGTTACAGTTCTGACCGGTTCCTGTCACTAAAATACCAAACCGGAAATTAAACACTAAGTACTTAAGAGTCTTAACTATAAGTATTTAAGTCTTTTTAATTTATTTATTTTTTAATAATTAATCTAGCTAGATTAAATCTAATCCATGTGAGTTAACCAAAACATAACAAATTATAATTAGTAAGCCTTCTTGTGTCTGTCACATTAAAGTCTTGACTAAAATCTTTACCAAACACAGGATATTTTCTTTACCTAATTTTATGATCTATAGCATTATTTTCTTTAACACGTTATTTTTGTGTCAGTTCTTTCCTGTAACTTCTAAGCTCTGGTTAATCTTCGCTAGAATGCAGAATGAGTTAAAATGATGAGCGTCTTTGTAGTTTATAGAGATGGTTTGCTCCCAGAAAGCCGTTCATTTCTTGTATTGTCCTCCTGATTTTTGTGATTTATTTTTTAATTCGTTAACGCATAGGATTAAAAGTTTTGGATATCTATGACCGGGTTGATTAGGCAGAAGTTATTCGATGTGTTATATATATTGAAGCATTTTTAGTTCTAACACCCTATAAATAATGATAAGTATACTTGTTTAGATTTATTTTATATCTATAAAATGTAGTTTTAATAAATGTTTAGATTAAATTTTACATTTGTTTTGTATGTTTGGAGTTTCGGATTTCGTCGAAATCATTTGAAGTAGAAATACCTTGGAGCACAGGATTCGTGGAAGCATAGAAAGGTTAAACATGGTGTAATATAATGGTTAATTGGGTTTAACTTGAGACGTCTACATGCACTTCATTTTCTTCCAACTGATTGTTTCTCATGATGTCCTGCCATAAAAATTGCTCACCAAGAAGTAATTGTAAGATAGTAACGAAACTTGCCACTGAAGGTATGTGCCAGGCACATATGCAAACGATTATAGTGTGGTTGCCCATCGAAGATTCTACCAGTGGAAGTTCTTCTTAAAAAGGTATGCAGATGCATTTTGCCTGTACTTAATCTATTCCACAGGGATGATTTTTCACTAGGAATGCCGTTGTACTGCCATCGTAGAAAATACGATCAGCTGCCAGAATTTGAGAGGTGAGGAATCATAGGGATGATGGAAGCCGGCTGGTTAACTCGGAGAGTAATCCATCACCTAAGCCATTCTGACTTTACTCAGAGGAAGCGTTGATACCAGTGGATGACAGAGAGGTCACATACATGGTGTCCAGTCACAGTGCTTGGCAGACCAATAGCCGAGAGGACAACAATATCACCTGACGCATACGCAAAACTCCAATTGCGATATTTTTTGCTATTCAGACATAGCAGTACGTGTCCCTCTGTGTCTACCCTGGCTTAAGGGATCTGGTATCGCAGCACCCGTTAAGTGTACTTCTAATGACACCCAACCACCGTTGCTTGCGTCTGAAGTGGTGCCGATCTTGGGATTGGTCTGCAACAGGTACAGGCAGAAGCTAGGCCAGTGCCTGTATAGTACCATAGGTGACTAAAGTATAATGGAACTAGGTCGTCTTTATCTAATTGAGATTTTGTTTGGGTAGTGAGAATCTTTTCTCCAATGAATAAGTATACGTGTGTACAGGCTCCGAGGTGAAAGAGTCCTCAATTCTGCCTTTTCTTTAAAGTGTCAAAATGCTTCCACAGCTGATGTGATGGTATTAAATGCGGTTGCGTACAACACTTGGCCATTTTTAATATTTATCCATGGCATTATGACAACCCATATCCTTCTGTCATACACTGTAGGGCTTCTCAAGAAGATATTTTTTTAACCGAACGATAAACCGGGGCCACTCTCACTGCAAAAGTGTCACAGGAATGCTTCCACCACATTAACACCATTCCCTGGTCTGGACGATCCTAGATTTGACACCGATCGAGCATGTCTCAAATCACTTGGACAGTCTAGTAGTTTAGTCAAACTACAGGCACGCTTACAAGCAACTGCGAAATGAGATCACATAGGACGCCATACTAGACCTGCATGCTCTCCCTTTATTTTTAGTTCTTTTTAAGATTATAACATCCATTAATTTGCAGATTTTCTTGTCAGAAATGGTCCTCCTGCTTTGATTTTGTAATCACTTATCAATGTCACATTCACGTGTATAAAATTTTGTTCAACTCTGAAAACTCTTTCTTGGTGCGTAAAGTTTTGTGAAAATGTGTGTATTAAAATCTCAATTAATAATTATTCATATTTATCTATAAAAATATGGATAATAATCTTTAAAATCATTATGTTTTCTTTCCTGCCGAAGCAAATTGCGTTTAGGTTGTTATTGTTTAGTTCTGATTACTTTGCCTTTCAGAATAAGATTCCAAGAAGACAGTACATTAGAAAACTCAAGTTCATCAGTCATTATTCGCAATACGGCAGCAGAAGACACAGGCCTTTATATTTGTTCAGCAAGAAATACATTTGGGCAAAGCCAAGCTACTATAAGATTAAAAGTTGTCGGTAAGTAATTTTGCTCAATATGTGTTTAAATTGCATATGTCATACAAGTAAACTCTGCTGTATGAATCCTTCCTGTGTCATTTAGTTTCTAGGACCAAAGTTTTTAGCCCTGTTTTAAAAGCATTTGAAATATGTTTTCATAAGATATGTACATTTCGCGTCTTGTTTAAAAACATGTTGTCACTTTACTTACTTAATATTTATTCAAAACTCTAAATTAAAGCAATTGTATTGTTGATCACATACTACCACTGGCGTATAGAATAAATGTATAATTTTATATTTATATCTGATACAATAAAAACATAGTTTATATTAATAATAATAAGAGAACAATTTCGCTAGAATTTTGTAAAAATATATATTTTTATTTCTTCCTTTTTTTAATGTAGCGTGTAGATAGCACTTCAACTAAAACTTATGCTTTCAAAGTTAGCTCCTAAAGGCTCTAGTCATATTTTCTTCTTTTTTATCTTCTTTCTGGCAGTGAAGTACCTATGCAAATTCAGAAATTAAAAAAATATTAAACAATCCACAGATCTTACATGTCCAAATCTTCTTTTGACTTGTGCTCGAAGCGATTATCTTAATTTTGATATATTACTTGTTGTTTGTACATATCGTCATGGTGAGGATACCAAGATTAGTGTTTCTAGCGTTTCTCGTCTTCAAGCTGCAATGGATACCAACGGTGTTATATTCTCAAGAGCCTGAAGGTGTTTTAAAGTGGTGTGGTGTTTTCAAACGATATTTTGACCTGTACTAGGAATTATTTCCTACCTTTTGTTATATAGTTTTTATGCAATACGACTTTCCTGCCGAAGCTGTGTGAATGCCACAGCTGTGTGCCGAAGCTGTGTGAAGCAAGAAGCAATGTGAGTATGTAGCTGAAAGTCAGTTTGGTGTTTCAATGATGGATGTCATGGCGAATGATAGTGCTAAGTTGGGATTTAATTTTTTAAAATCTTCTTTGCTGTAGGGTTTTTCGAAACAAAGGCAGAATAGCCACTGGTGTTATAAATAATTTGTATGGTCCAAAATAGCTGGTCTCCCAATATGGCCCAGAGAAGCTAAAAGATTGGACACCTCTGCTGTAGATTGTTCTGAATAAATTCTTAAGGCACTTTTATTATTTTTCAGAACCATGTCTTTTATGTTATATAAGATATCTTCTTTTATTTCTTATGCTACGTGTATCTGTTCTGTATCTATAATTGGGTCTAAATTCATATTTCTATTTTTATTATTAATTGCGTGTATATTCGTATTTAGTTTGTAGAGTTACTAGGTATTATCGATGCAATGTGGAATGCCCTCTCCAAGATTCAAGTTCCGGATCTCCCTAATAACGTATTCAGCGTGTATCCAGTTGCACCACGAAGGCACGCGGAAAGGGGCGAAAACGTAGAAAGGAAAAAATACCTTATAAGTAATAAAAATACCTTATTTACTGATTGTAAATATGTCATATTCAATTGTATTATTATTGTAGCGTACTTGTTGGTAACGTGAATGGGGACATGCCGCCAACAATAAAATCCACATGAGAACCGTTAGACCTAATAGTTTGATGAGCACATATTTTACATGAACCAGATGTCTCCTTGACGGGGAACTGTAAATGTAAATGTCCCTTCAAGTTGTATTCCCCTGGCTAGATGAAAATTGATCTGCCCTCAGAGGTGTTATTTTCAGGCGTATTTTAAACAAATTCCAGAGCATATATGTGTATCGTTTCTGCTTGTTGGAATCCCAGATGTGTTAAGGCTGAACAATGATTTCATCAGAAGTTAAAACTAAAAGTTAGCGGAATGTTATTGCTAAGTAATTACCAACCGAAAGAATGAACTATTAAACAGGGTTCAAGTCACGTATTTTATCACAAATGCGAAGGAATAGCGCTGAGGAGCTTTAAATCTTCCTGTCTTTATCTAACTATTCAAACGCGAAACTTTAAGCGATTTCATTAAGTTATTGTCTTCAAAGGTGAGTTTTAAGACTCGCAACATAGAAGTGTAAAACGGAAAGACAAAAATGTTTGTAAATATGATCACACACATAGAATGAGAAGAAATCAAGAGGTATGGTAAATACTTTGAAAGTCGTTTTGTCATATATTGTTTTACTGGACAAACGAATCCCGATTTCTATCCCATACAGAAACCAAAACTTTGTAACTTAAGAAATGAAACTTTTATACTTTGAAACACACCTAATGTTTTTGGAATACATTCAGATGCAATCAGTGTCGTAATACCGCAGTATTATAAAGTTTTCTTATTCGTTTTTGAGATTTTCTTAAATCTTTTATTTTGCAGAACAACCAAGCACTCCTCTGGACTTTCGAGTTTCGGAAATCTGGTGTAAGAGCGTGAGATTAAGATGGAAAGAGCCTTACAACGGCAACAGCCCTTTGACAAATTATATCATCCGATATAAAGTAAAAGATTGTAAGTGTTCTGTTTTTATTTTATTCTGATGTGATTGTTCGATCATGCTGCTACAATGTTCAAATTTGTTTCACGCTGCAAATGTTATAATTTTTAAACCATCATAGAACCTGTTAATAATAATATTATGAAATAGATACATATTATATATAAGTAAGAATATATTAGTATACTAGTGTTCGATAATAGTATTTTGATTATCTTGAGAAAGACAGGATGATAACACATTAAGTTCTTGCTCATAGTTTGACTTAACTTTTTCTAAATAACCCATGTTTGCAGTTGGCTGTAGTTTATTAACGGATCACATACTGTGTCCAGATGTTAATTCATAATTATTTTGATTATTTTCCAGAAAGACATGATTCCAGTGCACTAAGCTTTTGCTCATAGTTTGATTTAACTGTTTCTTAATAACCCCTATTTGCAATTAGTTGTAATTTATTAAAGGATCACATAATGTGTCCAGATGATAATTTATAATTATTTTTCTCAAACAGCAAAGACCAAGCCCACAGAAACGAAAGTTCCAGACTCTCAGAGCTTTGTGATAATTCGGGATCTTCGCCCACGTTTTACCTACAGCTTCCAAGTCTTGGCAGTGAACGAAGTGGGCGCCAGCGGTGCCTCCTCCACGGTGCACGCCACCACCCGAGAGGAAGGTGTGAGTTCAAGACTATGTTATGCTGTTTCAACTATTGTTTATAGACAGCAGTTGAAATGTCCTTACAATCAGGTGCTATTTATAAATAAAAATGTGCTTATAAAAACTTATCATTGGCATCATTCGGAAGAATGTTGTCTTACCTGTTCTGAAAACATTATAATAATGAACCTTATGAGTCTTTGTAGACTTACAATAACGAATCTCGTAAGTCCAGGTATCATTATAATAATGCAAAGTCACAGTACAATTTGTAAGTCACAGAAACACTTATGCATAATATAGCCCTTCACAACAAATGCCAATTTGGCATGATGCCAGCCAAGGAATTTAAGGTGTTTTACCTTGAAAAGTTCTTGTTAAGTTCTGCAAACAAAGTCCAGAAAATAAACAAGTATTGTTCTAAAAATTTAATAACATACTTGAAAACGTAAGGTTAATCCTAATTAACTATTTAATGCCTCCAGCACAACTTGTTTATGCTATGACGAATAACAAACAAAAGTTTATTACACTACTTTTGATAGTTTACAGCTTAAAATTAACAGGTACTTGCCACCGCTGCTTTCGGACTTTTCAATAACTCAAGTATGTAGACCAGCATGACGCTGAGTCTCGCTGTAAACCTGGCTGTAAACGTTGTAAAATTTCCAAGATGCTTTTAGATTTCATTGATGGTGAGCATTGCAAACTATAGCAGATAGCAATCTTGAATTAATCTAGAATCAATATTTTAAAAGGATTAAAAAAAGAGCAAGCTAATGATTAATCTAATCAATAGCTTTTTCATTGCTCTAACTGTTAATAGTCCTGAGATTGTTTATAAATATTTAACCAGATGACTTCCTTTTTCCATTTGTATGCATGCGTTTATGGTAATGCAGTTCTGAAGTCCTACCATTATTATTTTATTATTTTGTCGCATGAATTGAGAAATGATATACAGCTATCATTGTGTTTAAAATATTGTATGAAGCTTTGAATTGATTTTAACTAGTAGAGAGAACTAGTAAGTATTTATGAAAAACTCCTGAGTTCGAAACTTTCAGAGGTTTGGGTAATTTTGCTTACCAAGCAATGACTTATGAACTCCATAATGAAACAATTTTAAATATAGTAATAAGTACTGGATTTTATTATCATTTAAATACACTGGTGGGAAAAATTAAAGGAAGTTTTATGAAAAGGTTCTCTTTTATATTGAAGTCTAATGAAAGAGTTAGTTAGTAGCACAAGATCAGTCTCATCATATAGTTCAACTTTTGCTACACAATGATTCATCGGATTAGCTCCCCACCAAGATGAACCAAGGTCACTCATACAAGATTTGGAATGCCATACCATCAGCTCGTATATAAACGAAATATATAGCAATACACATAGCCCGAGTCGAGTTTGACAGTACTGTTACGAGACTATGTTGCATTAAAGAAGGTCCTAATAACTGTGAAAGCTAATTATTATCTCCACAACTGATCACTTACGGCTGCACCCATTATCCAATACTTTCCTATGTTTCTTTCCTATCACATTTTCTGCGTTCTTAGTTAAATTTATTTTTTGAAGAAATAGGCAGTTCTGAAATTTGCAGGTATGTCAGGCATGACAAAATGAAGAACTTGTGTCTCCATGTTCCTTGATCCTTATTAGTTCTGGCAGCAAATCTTTCAAGGTACCTGAGTTTTTGTAGTTGCTCTATTGATTTTTCCACCTAGTATACATTGAGATTGTAATTGCCCTATATTGTAACATTATGCTTCGCATTAATTACGAAATGTGTTATATTGTATGCATTTTGAGGCTAATAATTCACGTCTTTGTTTGTTATATACCGTATTTGCCGGCGGCAAGACGTACTTATTTCTAGGTCTGAAACACGGGGTGCGTCTTATACGTTGATACTGCATCTTATACTCAGTTTTTGATTACATTCATTTCTGGAAATTTCCTATATTCGGAGTTATGTGATTTTTTTCTTGTTTAGTTGCGCATTGTGGGAATATTATAGTTACGTAGTGGCACGTGGAAATATTACAGTTACAAAACTGTAGATTCCAAAGGTACAAAACGTGTTACTGTTAAAACTTCAGAGCAAGAAAATATTCACTACACGGTTGTTTTATCCGCCTGTACTGATGGGAAAAATTGCCCCATTATTAATTTTTAAAAAGCTATATGGATGGAGGAGGAATGAAGTTATGAATAGATAAAATTTGGTTGAGGCGACCTAGCAATCTGTTGAAAAAAACCAAAAAAACCTGCTCTACTAATATGGGATCAGTTTCGTTCTCACAGAACAGAAGATTATAAAAAAACTCATATATTAAAAATAAACTCAAAGATTTGAAAACTCAGCTGCAATTCCAGAGACCTAATTAATCAGCTTCAACCTTTAGACTACTGCATTAATAAACCATTTAAAAAATTTCTGAAGGAGAAGTGGAACAGCTGGATGCAATCTTCAAATTTTGAGGTTACACTATCAGGAAGAAGGAAGAGGCCTAGAATTTAGCAAGTTTGTGAATGCATCAAAGCTTCATGGAATGCTATCAAAACAGCGACAGTTGTTAAATCGTTTACGAAGTGTGGCTACTAACGCACTGAATGGTACAGAGGGCAATTTGGTTGTATAAGGAGTCAGATACTGACTTAGAAGAGGTTTCAAGTGACTCTTCATTTAGCTGTGGAGATGAATGTCTGGGTTTTGAAAAAGAAGCTTAAAAGGTGTTCTTTCCCCATATAGATTGGGTATTTGCAGAAAGTATTACTTTGTATTTATATTACTTTACATTTAAAATACTGTAAATTCATTATAATGATCAGTAATAAAGTTTGATTCTTAAAAAATGTGTATAAAAAGGGGGTGCGTTTCATAGGCCGGTGCGTCATATACGCCGGCAAATACGGTATAGTGTATCTATAGTGTTTTAATTAATATTTACCTAACTTAAATCTTACTTATTTATTTCTCTTCATCTGTTATGTGTTTTTCATAAAGAGCCGGAGGCTGCCCCAACCAATGTGCACGTAAAAAGCAAAGATTCGGCGGGTTTTCTGCTATCATGGAAGGTAAGCGTGGCTTTATTCTTAAGAGCGAAATTTTTTTCATAAATTGGAGTAAAACCTTTTTATAAAAAATATGTTCAAATCTTTTCAAGTAACGTTTTTTAAGTTGTAGCAGAATTAATCTGTTGTAAACTGTTATATATAATATTTATCGCTACAAAAATGCTTATAAAGGAAAGATATTGTTTAATTTTTGCTGAGAGATAGAACTGGATATAAAGTAAATAACATATATATTGCATAGCTGTTAAGGGGAACAGATTGAACTCTATGACGTAAATAATTAATGATTAGAAATGTTAAATAACAAGCAAATGGAAAACATCAACGTAAACATTTACACAAGCATAAAATTTGTTGCTGACTATAGTAATAGATTTGGCACTTTTTCCGACTTTACAAAACATTGTTATTGCTATTAATTCTTACAATAAAAGCTATTGTGCTGCTAAAATCTTTGAAATAAAGGTTATGTTTATTTTTGCAACTATTTTTGTTCACTATCTTCTTTCAGTTATTTTTCATAGAGCGCAAAATTGTTATCTTTGTAATAATGATAAATATTAAAGATTTGTAATATTAATTTAAAATAATTATTTTTTACTAAGTTTATGTATTTGTAATACTTAAGGGGTATCAGAAAACCCTATACCGACAATGTTAAATTGGCCATTTTCGATGTACCTTTTCTCAAAATGTGCTGTAGATACAAGCTTGAAATTTTTCTGTAATTAAAGTATACCTCTCTGATTATACTGAAATGAGCTTTTGAAACATTTTGAATTTTAGAGTAAATTACAGAATATTTTGTTAGGAATAGTAAAATTTAGCACTTTTCTCACACAAAAAGTTTTTTAAAAAATTTTTTTTCTAAGTTTATTACAAAAAGCTCATTTCAGTAAATATTAGGGAACCTAATAAATAAGCCATAAAAAGTTTAGATACCTGTGAGCAGTAGCTCCTGAGAAAAGGTACATCGAGTATAAAAAAATCACGTTTGGAGAAAAACGCGTTTTTATGTAAAAATTTTCATTGATCAAAGCAGTAGAAGACAAATTAAAACTAGATTTTTTTACAGTTCTAATTTTCATAGAGATTAAAGAAGGGTATTTTTAGAAAGATAAAAGTATAGAGAATTTGAAAATGCAAAAATCCGAAATCACAATTTTTTGAAGATTTTGGGGTTCCAACACCCCTTAATTTCTTATTTTTTGATATTTTGCTTTGTAAAGTCCACTTTATTACACTAAATTATTTATATCTCTCAAGATAAAATGAAATCTTCCTCACATTTTTTAAAATTGAAATCGAATCTCCCTCGTCCTAATTGAATTTCAGTTTCCAAAGTTGGAAAAAAAAAACCAATGAAGATGAAATTTTTACCACTTTCTCTGAAATCGTAACCTAAATTTACTGTCTAAATAGAATATGTATACATTACTGAATTCAGGATTTTAATGCATTGCCCAAACGTAAAAAAATACTATTTATAAATTATCTATTCTTTATATGTTTTAAAATTGTATTGGTAGCCGCAATTTTTAAATATATAAAAGACGGCAATTTCAAAATATACAAAGGTCAGCACTTTTAAATTACAAAAACTTTTTTTTTTCTTTTGGCTAAACTAAATGTAATGTTAGTAATCCTGTAACCAGAAACAGTAATTTGTTTTTTCATGAAAACGTTACTATTATAAAAAATGATATTATTTATTTCTGTTTCATTTTTTTTTGCTAATGTTTGACTTTTCACACCACAGGCTCCGCCCGTCGAAAAATGGAATGGGGACCTTATAGGTTTTTCCATCGGCTACAAGCGTGTATCTCATGGTTCGACGCAGTCTCTTCCCTTCACCTACAAGGTCCTTCCTGTATTCCTTTCTCTCTCTAATCCAGGGCTAGAAGCAAGTGCTTCTAGGGAATACCATGTTCGGGGTCTTCAGGAGTCTTCCAGCTACACCGTTGTTGTGCAGGCCATGACTAGGGCTGGCTTTGGACCACCTTCCGAGCCAGTGCTTGTCAAGACGTCATATGGAGGTACATAAAGATTATAGTTCCTGCTGAAATACTTAGACTTGTTTCCTTCCATTACCTAGTACTGAAACCTATTCTTGGCTTCGAGGCGCCATCCGTTCCAAGTATTCGCATAGTTCACTGAAGTCTGAAATAGTTTGTGGACCATCGGAACAGTAATTTAGTGCGGAAGACATAGAAGTCAATAGGCTTGATAGACAACAATACATTATACAACTCACCGGAAAATATTTTTAATAAATTTATTAAATTGTATTTAAAATCAGCATTTTTCGATTTAATTAACCATTCCATCAGTTCAAAGATGCGACAACTAATTAACTCCCCTCTCCCCCCAAAAATGAAGAGGCAAATCTATCTCGTTGACTCACACATAGTAGTTCTGGATTAGCCAAATTTAATAAGAGTCCATAAAGATGTTAGAATTAGTAACTGAAAGGAAACTGGATGCGTAAGATGTGGTTGGAAGATATTATGCTGCTGGTCAATTTTTTCCTTCTTATTGTTCAGGAATTGTTAGAAAACTAAGACACAAAATGAAATATACAGATCATTTGCTTTTATTAAAGATCAAAAGACATTTAATAAATGAAAGGAAAAAAAAAGAAATTAAAAAGAACCTTAGAAAAGTTTTAAAATGTAAAAATAAACTGACTTGAGGTATCTTAAATATTAAATTTTTGAAGCAAATGTGCATAATTTAAAATCTGCACCATGTTCAAAGCACAAATCTACAAATCCTTCTCTCCTATTCTTTTTTCCCTAGAAAAAAGGCTTTAACGCTGTTGTGCTTAAGAAACTCGAATTAGGACTTCAGGATAATAACTGTGATATATTATAATATATTATCCTAATATTTTTTATTTGGCAAATGCTAGTTACATAGGCCGTTAGGCCATTGAAATCCTTCTTTGCCAATAGCGCTGAAATCTACAAGAAAATGTTTCAGTGCTTCATGCTCGTCCAAAAGTTCCGCCGTCATTGGCCGTCCACTATTAGGTAAAACACACAGCGGCGAATCAGCTAGTCCAATGCGAAATAAATGATTCTGTAGACAGTGAAGCCCCGTCAATAGTCTAAAAGATGCAACTGCAACTATTCGCGTCAGGAACAACTGCGGTCAGGAACAAAAGCTGGGTTTGTTGAGAGAACACTCCTAGGCTTGCCATCCAAAGCCCGAGTGGCAAAATCTTTAAAAGTCTTTTAATATGTTAGCGATGTCAGTAGCTTAATAGAATGGAGGTTTGTACTCGTTTTTGGCTTTTGGAGAACCGTAGCCCCCTTTTGAGCAAGCATGATCCTAATATGTAGGGTATGAATTTTCATGTTTTAACAAAACGCAAATCATTGAAAAATAACAGAAAATATTGTATTTGTAAGCAACAAAATACCAGTTTGCGGTTATAGTAGGGTGTCATTGGTAATGATGTCTGAAGCATCTTTTCATCAATGTTTTATAGTTTAAATGTTAATAACTGTACTAAGATGTATGTACTTTGCAATTAAGTTACTCAGTTTGTCACAAGCTGGATGTTTCAAATGCAAAATACATATTTTTTGCTATGTCCTTACAACTTTAATAACGTATATACCTTACAGTAACTGAATTAATTGTATCATGCATGTATGAAAATTCAACTGCTGTTAGAAATGGCAGTTTATCTGCGCGGTCGATTTGATGGGATAGAAATTCAGTTGGGTTTTATATAATGTTATGTGACATAAAAAAGGAAAAACTAGACTACAGAGATTTTAACATCAGGCTATTATTTTTTATATGTCTTCAAACTGTTCTCTGAAATTTTCCGTGCAAACATCGTTTTGTGTTCTCTTGCGCGGAGAGTAAAATTTAAAATTCATATAAATTTACCATTAAATAATTCGTTTAATGTGTTTGTCAAATAGAGCATACGTCAATTATTTCATTTCTCGTTTTCCAGAGTCCCCCCAAGTTCCTACCATTAGCCTCATCTCCACTGAACAGACGGTGATAACACTGAGAATTGAACCTACAGGCCGGAAAAAGACCGCACCTACACGTAAGAAAATTACGAAACAAATCATTAAATAACTTTATTTATCTTTGTAATTAGTATAGTATTGAGCACAAATGCCCTATTTTGCTTTATATCAGCTTCAGAAACGCTAAAAAAGTTTACTTTGAAGTTTTCTAAATTTTATTTTATTATTTTCCAGAATATACGCTTCACATTCGCGAGGGCAGTAGTCACTGGCTGAAGATCCCTTTGACCCCTCACAATAAAGAGTACAAAGTCGGAGGTCTCTTGGCTGGTGGTCAGTACAAATTATATGTGACCGCAAGGAACAATTATGGAGACAGTGGTCCATCTGAAGTAGTCACGTTTCGTACTGATCCTGAAAGTAATACTGGATTTTTATTTATGGGCTTTTAACTTTCATATTATAATGAATACATTTTTATCATCAGGTAAAACTGGAAAAAAAGGGGGGAACTTTAGTTGATATAGACTTTACTTTAAGGGAAGTGTTTTCAGGATTAACAGTATCTTCTTCATCAACTTTCTGGGGGTACTTTTCTAATTCTTGTATACTTTTTTTGATATATTCAAAAACATAGTCAAAATGTATTCTCATTAGCTAAAAAAAGTATTTATCAGTGCTTTAATCTAATTCCTTTGCTGTGCATTTAGCTAACGCTTTCTTGTTTTTCATATTCCAATGTACGCAAGGAATTTTGAACCATAACTAAGTCAAGCTATTCAAGCCTAATATTTTAATCAAAATTATCCAAACCGTACAGTAAAATATTGTTTTATACTTTTTTATAGCACAAAAGGGGAGTTAGCCCAAAAGGGCTATTAGTCTCAAAGCAGCATTTTGCATCGAATCACTAAAAGCGTTCAATTACTCTTCAGATTATTGCCACCAAATATTAACGCACTGTAGATATTTAAAGAAATTAAATAATGAAGAATCTGCATGAACGTATGTATGTTTCTTGCACGGGGAAAAAACAATAGAACTTAGAGCCATCACATTTTGAATGACATAGTCCTCCTCCTGAATATGGGCACAGGGAAGCCCGAATCTAAATTTAGAATTTGCTTTATTATCTACTTCCTATTTTTTAAATTTCACAAATTTTTTATTAAGAAACTCAACGATTTCAAAACCAGCAGTGGCGACACGCTCCACGGAATAAAATATCTTTATCTCCAGAACGCAAGATTTTCTATCTGGAATTCTGAAGATATGCTTTTTTAAAATATTTTTAGCCCAAATGCTCTCGAAACATACTTATATGTGTAAATTGAAAAATGCCTTTTTGGGCGTAATATAAAATCTGAAAGCTTTCAGACTTTTTTTTTACTATCCCGAATTTTCCACTCCATTGCATTCACAGATATGTGTTCCTCTGATGACTTAAATATTTTGGAGAAACTCTGCCCTCTGCGTATCCAGAAGTGGGCTTAATAATTTTGAATTGCGTAAAATCATACAAAGTTTAGGGGGGGCATTGGGACAGTAAGTGTTTGTAAATACAACCTAATGTTGATTTTCTTTTCTTTTTTGAAAGCTGATACACAAAATAATGTCTTATTTAATTATTAATACTGTCCATACTATCAGCTTTATGTACTATTTGTTCATATGTATAAGTAAGGTGCAAGCTATAGAACCGTGTACACTGAATGTATGCACTTTTTATCTTACGAAAAATATATAAATAAATTGCATTACGCGTAAAAATAGTAATTATAAATTTTATGAGTAATGTTTGTAACATATATTAAACTCAGAAGCATTTTAAATGTTGATAACCATGAAAATATGTAAAATATTCATTCAAATAATAATAAAAAGGAGGCATATTTTGGGAACGTTTAATGACACGTATTTTTGTGTAAGAACTGCTCAGCTGAACTTTGTGCTTCATATTGTGAAAGTAGTGAATAATATTATTAGATCATTTTTGTTATTATTTCGATAATAATAAAATAAAAATATATAATAATAATAAAAAGATTTAACATAATTAATCGATTAAAAATATTACCGATCTCTTATTTACATAGTGTTCTTTCTTCATCATATTAAACAATAGTAATACTGTTTTACATTTACAATTTATTTACATATTTAGAATTAGCTTTTCTCCAAAGGTTTTGAAACCTAGGAGCAGACAATGCGATGTAAGTGGTATACATACCAATAATGCAAGACATCGAAAATTAAATGCTTTTGTCATACATTTCTGTTTAAATTATGTTGTTAAATAATAAAATGTACCTCTCAATGTTACGTTTTAATAGTGCGTCCTTCATTTGCTTTAGTTTTTCAATATTTTCTATCTACGTTTTTTATCTGCGAATTCTCGAATTATCTAAAGTATTCGAAGCTTTCCTAATAATATATTTAATTTTAATATTCGCTGCAAGATGAGTGGAGATGAGCCTTTGCAACACGAATTTTGCAAGGCTCAAATGTATGTATATTCGACAATTAATTAATACTTTGATGTAATTTTCTAAAAAACCGCTTTCTTCTTTCCTGATGTAATGTAATTGTGGTCGCTTGTGTAAATATCTTTAATTTTCCAGTGCATGCGTTCGTTACAGGTACGAGCAGCTCCATGTTTCAGTATGAGGAAGAAGATTTAGCCATCCCATTTTATCAAAAATTGTCATTTATTATTCCGGTAGCAGTGTCTATGACGATTATTTTTGTTGTTCCCATTGCCGCCTGTTGCTGCTTGAGAAAACTGAATAGTTTGCAAGCTCCAAGACCGGGTGAGTACGGCTGAAAACATTTAGCAGGAATATATTCGCTGTCCTTTAATATTTGTTCTGAGCCATTCCTAAGCACTTCACACAACGGAGGAAAACTGTATACTTTCATATAATATTTTTCATTTGCTTTAACTGCTACTATAAGTAACTAAGCCTGTAGACAAATGCGTAGTATTTACACTCACATGTACTAGATAAAACTTCATGTGAAACACGCTAACACAGTATACATCTTATTTTCATGCACATGAAACTTGTTTTCCTCATTCTCGTATTTATTTCGGAACTTTTTGGAGCTTGATTTAGACAAGCCCTTTTATTTACGTATAATTGTATAATTTGTATTATTCTATAATTATATATGAACTTAACGTTTGCTCTTAAGAAAACTCTCCTTTTCTGTCAAAAGTGCTGTTAGATTTTACCTATGTTGAGGAACAGCTGGTAACATTAATCATTTGGAATTTCAAAAGAATGAGGATTTAATTTTCAAGGTGCAATAACTTCATTTTCCTTAGAGTATATATTCCTTAGAGTATTCATTTTCCTTATATATACGTACCTCGTATGGTATGACAACAGAATTTTCCGTATGACATTAGAAAGAACTCTGCACATGTATCCAATAATAGCTTTAATGTCTTTATATAAAAATCTGCACCACTAGGCTGCAAAAAACTTTATATTTATTTTCAGCTTTTGTAATCATATAGGCTAGAAGTAAGCACTTAATATTTTGTACACTGCTCTGCACTTATATTATACATTGCATTCTTCCGCGCGTGTTGTTGTCCGCCAATTGTCCGCGTTGGCCTCTTAGTGGCTTTCCCCATGTGTAACTAGGATACGAACAAGTTTCCATTTAAAAGTCCTTCACGAAGGCATCAATACCTCAGGCGAGATAGCATTCGTTTGCTTTGCCAAATAAATCGAACCGAAACCGTGCGTTTTGTCATAACATAAGAAGTTAGTATGTCCAGATAGCAACTCGAAGATGCGTGACTCGAATCTACACGAGGGTGCAGTTGATTAATCCTTTATCCTGCTTTGAAAAATCTAATAATTTTTGGAATATGATTATCCTGTATTTCAATTCATAAATTACGACAAAATTGTTATTGTAAAACATCATGAAGCTATGATTTTAACGATGATTCAAAACACTGAAATAATGCAAAAATAATGCAGAATATAGTCAAAGGCTAGCAGCATGAGAATTTTAGCATCTTGTAACTTCTTAGCTTACACAACAGTTTGCAAGCGCATTGGCAAAATATGTATTAGTAACTCTTCATATATTAAACAAAACAGTTCCATTTTATCTAAAACGTAGAAACAAATTTATTCCCAAAGCAATTTCTAGAAGGGATACCTTTTATTTACCTCTTAACTCTGAATGATGTTTTAATCTGATGAATTTGACGTTCGGAAATTAAATTATTGGACATTAAAAATGAAACATCAAGAAAGATAAGATCTTTAAAAACGAGGCTTAATCAGACAGAAAGCTTAGCATCCCTGTTAGATATATTAGTTAGCGAAGCCTCAGCTGCCATATCATTAGGCCTGGATTCGAATCTCGCAAAAGGCATGGGTGTTTAAAGCTCTCTATCCAACTTCTTGCATAATATTAGTAGCTATCCTATGGTGCACCTGAACGACGTTCTCGGAGAAGATACATCTTAATGACAAATGGCCATTCCCTATGAATGCTTTTAACAAGTTTGGTCTTTGGATTAAAACAGAAGCAGAAAATATATGATACAAAGGTGGATTGACCACAATTTCAAACTAGTTCAGTCTGAGGGAAGTAAAAATACCAATTAGCATGGGTGATAGTAACTGATACGACACAGACAAAAAGAGGCGTTAGGATATGTTGAATGGGCTAGCCTTCCGTTTCCAACATATTGCCAGAGTTCATTTACAGTACCCGCAGATGACCTGTGACACGGCAGTCGTTTGTGCGATTAAACGAGTTAGACCAGTTCAGTTGGCAATATCTCCAGTAAATTCTCAAGTTAAGGAAGGAGTGAAACATGATGATCATCCAAGAACTGTTGGACGTTACATAACGTATTGAAGAGCTCATTTTCTTCCGGAATTAGCTGTTTAATGACCCTAAACTCATTGTTTCCTGCATTACTCTAATACTTTAGATTTGAGGCGTAATTCTGCTAAGACGATAAATACCTTCTTTCAGCTTAAAACTAGCCTACTGCTAGCACGGAAACTAAACATTAATAGTATAGCACTAAACCTTAGAACTTGAAAAGCTATGCTTGAATAATTTTATCTTGTGTATCAAACACAAAAGGAACGTTATTGGTTTAACATAAATGTACAGAAATCGATTGAATTCGTTTAATTTATAAATGAATCTTTACATAGCTAAAATATTTCCATACTTCTCGTTTTCACTGGTGTTCTCATTGAAACAGAATTCAAAATTAATGGACAGCGCTAGGATGCAAATTAGTTTTTTTAAGAATACACTTAATATGCTGGCTGTTAGATAGCATAAGTTGGTGCATAACCAACACTGTCTCTAAGATTTTTTCTCTTAACGACTCGTTGTTTCAGAAGGCGTGGAATCCCGCGGATTTACATACACCGCATCAGGGTCTGCCGAATGCACTTCAGGTTCTGCTCCAAGACCTCGTTCTCTACCTCCTCAGCCGGCTCCTTCATCTTCTTCATCGTCTGGGCATTACTCCACATTGCAGAACTACGGTAGCGTGATCCCAGCAAACGATCCCAGGTTCAGCCATTTTATGTTGGAGAACAAATTAGCTAGCCAAGTCGTTAATTTACCGTAAGTTACTAGATAGCTCTCGTATTTAATTTTTTCATTGGTAATTGTTATAGCTTTGTCTTTAATTCTACGTTTGGGAATTTCTCTATCTACCAAAACAAACCATTAAAACATATACTGGGAGAAAAGCGCCCTTGTTATGAAATGAAAGTAATGGAGGTTATAAATGTAATGTAATATACATTATTTCATAAAGAGGAGTATCATATGTTGTCGTCATTGAAGAACTGTTTATTATTTTTGTGTTTGAATGAACAAACGTCAGTTTAGCACAGTTCACGAATTGCAAGGGCTATGGATTCACACTATTTTGAGTTTATTAACTTTCTTTAGAATATGGTCACTTTTGTCGAGTTTGCGTGCTTAGTTTCCCTCTTATGTTTTGTTATATTACGTCTATCTTTAAAATATATTGAACTTACATTCTCTATAAACGTAAACAACAAGCAACATACTATCTTTAGAATAACGTATCTTCACAATAAATGAACCCCTGTTTGGTTTTCTTTACATTTTTATCGTTGCTGTCTACACATTAGCTATTTATCATAAATGTTTATAATTCCCCATTTAAAATTTTAATACTTGTATTATTTTCTACTTAATATAAAGAAAAATCACAAAGACTGCATATAACTGTTTCAAATTTAATAAAATCTGGTGTTGCGTTTTTCTTTTCTGACACCAGTGTTACGTTATTTTCTTCCTTCACGTTCGTGCGGGGTTCGTAGATTTGGAGTGAATAACGACGACACTTGATGAAGTATCGAAACACACTTTATTTACCAATATTAATCAGGGACAGCTCCAAAAAACTTTTACAATCGTCGAATATCTACTATACACTCGTTGGAACAATCAGCGACACAGCCTTTCGACTGTCAGGTAATAACGGTAGAGACAGCTTCACTGCAAAGCACCAGAGTACAGCTTACCGACTCGGTTCGGTCGTTCTCGGAACTCCACGTACTCTCGAGACTCTCCACGCTACAACTCGCGATGCCCTCGACGACACACAGAGCACAGCTCCCGACTCTTCGGTTCAGTCGTTTCCGGAGCTTAACACACTTTCTTGACGATGCACTAACGGCGATACACTAAGAGATTCTTCCATGCACTCGACGATCCACACGGCACTCGTTGCCTGGTTGTGAACTCGATCGACTCCGCACGGGCTGACTAGATGAGACACACTATCTCGCACTCTAGACGAGGCACACACTAACTGACCGCGGCTCAGCAGCGTTTATATAGCTTTCGGCTTGTGTTCATGAACATTCTGGGCTAAACCGGTAAGAATTCGTTCCAGAAGGTTCTCCATCCGTCCATGGCGTGTCGCCAAATGGGCGATTTTTCGCCAAATGTGACAATCCTGCCTTCCCTTTCCATTTTATCGCAACCCTAAACCTGCTTTGCGGGTAAGCTATCTCACTGCGCCTTGACATTTCGTAACACTAAGTACATGAAAATGTGTAAATGGTAGGTATAACACAAATGTATACAAAACTTGGAAGATCGCTGGAAGTTTCAAAGGTATTTTATGAAAATTATGCCTAAAGACAATTTTCCCAGCCTGCGGACATAGATATTTGCTTTTAAATTCAGTGTAATTTTACTTGTACTTATTTATGTTATATGTTTCGTTGTCTTACTCGTACAGTGTATGGCGGCTATGATAAATATTGACGTAAACTTGCTGAGATTTCCTTGGCTTCGCTTTTGTGACGTCAGACTTACTCCATCCATTATGACCTTCATGATATTAACAAACAGATTCCAAATTAGTGTTAAGTGAGATTTACTTTTAATCCCTTTGCCCATTAACTGCTAATAATTATTTTTGTACTTTTTGTCGGTGCTAAATACATTTATGTTTCACATTTACTGATATATTTCCAATTGTATTTTCATGATATGTATTAGCATTATATATATATATATATATATATTATAAATGAAGTATGCACTAACACACTGAATTAATTTTTTTCTACAGGTCAAAGCATCCCAATTGTTAAATAGGAATGTGATCATCCGGCCTTTAACAGGCCACAAACGTTCAAGTGTGAAATGAATCTTTTCATTTATGTGCCAGTTAAATATTTAATATGTGTAAGAAGTTTCTTCGAAACCAGAAGAAATTAATGATCAAGCCTTTGAAAATGAAATATAGGGTACAAACATATTTTATACGTCTTGATGTGATTGCTGCTGAAAAGCCACTGTAAATGCTCTCATTGAGAAGCGAATATCTTGTATGTAGTCGAAGATACTATGAATAACTCGCGTAAATGGTTTTATTTTTATCACTGGCTCATAGATTAGTCATAAATTCCTCATCCCTTATAATAGTTGAGGTATTGAGAACCCAAATGTGGAAGCGAATTCTCAAATTTTTATATCCTTGGTGATTCCAAAAAAGAGAATATTTTTTAAACATTTATAGAGTTCATATTTAATTTTAAGGAAACTGCGAGTATTTAAAATGTATGATATGGTAAAAAATCATATATTTAGTGTAGTCTAATATAAATCATGAGTAGTCTTGAACTACTCATGATTTCGTAATTATGAGCTTTTGTCCTTCTGTTCTATAATTTTACAATTTTATTTTCTTAGACTTCAAATGGTAATTTAGAAACCAATATTGTATTGTAATTCATAAATTCTAAGGGGAAAATCTGAAAGTTCATGCATTTATGCAACTTATTTATTTTAAAATTCATAAATGTATATTATGATTATGCAAAAATAGGAGAGGACTTCAAAATTTTCGTAGATTACTTCGATAAATCTTTTCCCAAAAGATTTAATTAGATAAGATCTATTAACCGTACACCTTCCGAAGTACATGAAAATGTGTACATGAAATGTAGATTTAAATCACAATTGCCTTAATTATAAATATGTACACCTTGCATAAAAAAATGGGACTGCTCTATATCTCCCATTCTACTGGACCGATTATCGAAAGTTGACTTGGGTTTTTCATGTCTCATATGCACGACATAGGATATATATTAGATTTATATATAGCCTTAGTCTAACATAGGCATTTTGACACAAAATCGGACCTTTTCTGAAATAACATACCAATTCTTTTTCCATAGTTCGATTCTACGACTAAAAAAATGCCTACAAATTTTGTAATTTTTGGTGAGAAATTTAAAAATTGATCTTAGCGCATTTTTTTTTTCAGCTTGCGCCAAGTATAATTCACTTGGCATACTTCTTAATTTATAGCAACCTATTTTACTTTCCTTTTTTTCATTGTACACGAACGGAAAAATGTCCTCCTTCATACTTTCAAATAATTTTAACAAAGTGGGTAAACTACATTTGACATTATTTTCGCTTATAACAAATATGTCTGTCGCACAGAAGGTTAGCGGTTAGGGGAGCCTACAATGGTACCGAATGGCCCGGGTTCGAATCGCGGAGAAGGCATGGATGTTTGTAAATGTATAGTGTCTTTGCGGTATGGCGACACTCTAAATATGCTGTGAGCCGAAAGTCCTCTCGTGTGGACTAGTGGAAGGGGAGGGTGGGTGGGAGATCCGCATACTCCGGGGGCTGTCACTCAAAATTGTGGGTGGAAAATAGAAGTTCAACCTCTCTTCGGAGTAGGCTGTGGTAACCATTGTACCATGTAATATGGACAAGACAGCAACGACACCAACAAATATGTCAAACTTCAAAATGCGCCAATATGTAAATTCACTTAAATCTTAGGAAATTTTGAATAAAAAGTCTAATTTTTTTACAGGTACGCTTAGATGTACATATTCCTTAAGATGATGGTAAAAATTTTATAGGTTATAATTCAAAATTGTTTTCGAAAAATTTATAAAAATTATTTAAAAATACGAATTTTAAAAATAAATCCTAAAAATTGGAGAATTTTATTTGGAATGAACTTAAATTTCGAATTGTGAAAGGACGAATCAACTAAGTTAAAAAAAGGTATTAATAAATATATATGCAAATTCAATTAACATGGAGGAGCTAAAATTTTGAGAACTAATTTTTTAAAAACTACTCGTGCGAGTTTTACAAAATTTGGCAGTTTGGCATAATTTGAGTCGTAGAATGGAAATATGGGAAAAAATTGTCATTTCAGAAAAAGTTCGATTTTATATCAAAATACCTATATTTTGACACAAAATAGTAACACTGAGGAGCTTTAATATTAAAATTGAGGAGCTGAAATTTTGAGAGCTAATTTTTTAAAAACTACTCATGCAATTTTTACAAAACGTGGCAGTTTGGAATAATTTGAGTCGTTGAATCGAAATATGGAAAAAAAAATTGGTATGTTATTTTAGAAAAAATCCGAATTTTGTGTCAAAGTACCTATGTTAGAATAATGCTATATATAAATCTTTTATATATCCTATGTCGGGCTTTCGGACAGGGGAAACGCAAGTTAAATTTCCACAATCGGTCCAGTAGAACAGGAGATATAAAACTATATTTTTCTTTTTTTTTTAATCCCTTTTATTTTTATTTATTTATTTTTGTGCAAGGTGCACCTTTGTCATTACATTCTGTACTCTTACACTTACATTTCCCACGATATATAAATAGTGATTATGAACAAAGTATTGTGCTTTATAATTTTTACTTTTTTATAAAACTGGATTTCAGAATTCGTGTATTTGATTTAGTTATTTTAAAAGTGCAGTAAAGTGCCTTAGGACTATCAAAATAAACATCCTACAAAAATTACAGGTGCATTCCTAAATATATGTAATATGGTATATTTCCTCACTAAATAAACTTTCACAAAATATCATTAAATAACAACCGTTAGTGCTCACCAGTGGCCGAGCAGTAAAATCACTGAACACTAGTAGTTTCGATCCGGTGCGAAAGGGCTGGTTGCATGGACATATTTGTGGTTTTCTTTATGTGTAACCGTGTATACGAACTACTTTCCTTTAGAAAGTCATCAACGAAAGCGTCTCTCCCCGTAGGCAAATAACCTGGTGTGCTTTGCCATAATTAAATAAACCAACCAAATAATATCTGTTAATCATTAACAAGCTAGTTTCTTTTGTAACTTGAATTAGATATATTTGAACAACCTCTCTCTCTCTCTCTTCGATCTAATTTAGAGGCTAAATGTAACTGTTATGAGGCATAAATTGCCGAAACAAACCATTTGATAACAAAATTGCAATGATAATGAAAACTGGTGAAGAAGGTGACCAAATTTCAAAATATCACTAAATATATTATAAATTTACAAAGACAAAAATATATAAATCAAAATAACATACGAAACATACGTTAACGTTTTCTTAAAATACAAAAATATTGTATTCAAAAAGTTGTAAAAGTTGAGGTACTGGAATCCTAATTATGGAATTGAATTTTAAAACCTTAAATTCCCCAGATTTTTATGAAAATTTTAGTAACGGGTACTTTCAGTTTGGCGGCGCAAACGGCAAAGTCGCCAAAAATGGTACAACCGATGCCAAACGGAATATCTTCGCTGGCAACCTTTTACGTTTCATTTTCAAAAAAAGTCGCAGCCATTTCTTATCAGATTGATTGTTTCTTTCAATACTGGCATACAATTAATTACATAGAATGTTTACCAGATAATTAAATTTTATGCCCTAAAACCATTCGCGGTAATTAAGTCAATTAGGATGCAATCACACCGCTCACCCGAAGGCGAAAATATAGAAAAGGCAAAGTCAAGGGTTAAATTCATCCATTCTAATGAGAATGCACTAGGGAAGTAAAGCACTGCGGTTTTATATAATTTCTAGTAAGCTATTCGTACGAATTGAAATAATTCTTGCATTTAAACTTGTATTCCAAATTAAGATATAACTTGAAATTAATGTAGATAATTACAGAGAGAATGAAATTTTTGTAGCGTAGTTTACGTGAGAGGAGATCACTTGGGGTCACGTGATACGAATCGGCGAATCAGGATGTTGAACCATGAAAGCATAGTAAATTCTTAAATTAATGAATTTTTACAAATTTATTGTCTTTATTTGTTGGCTTTTTACAAAATTTTAAACCATATTAAAATGTTTATGCCTTCAAAATAAAAAATTCTTAGAACTAACATTTGTTAACATTTTTTATGTCTATACTGTATGCTGTCGCCAACAAAGCCTGCTTGTCGAGATTTGTGCCAGCGAAACGGAAAAAGTACCTAGTAACGTTTTAGAAGATTTAATGAACTTAAATACTCGAAGTGTTATATTTTTTTCAAGAAAAAAAATGTGAATATTTATAGCATGCTATTTTGCAGTAAAACTTATTTTTATTCTGAATTGTGATCATGTAAGTCCAAGACTCGTTGCTTGCAGTTAAAAACTTTTAAAATGTACCTTCCGTCTTTCCCTTAGAAAGTCTTCCACGTAGGCCTCTTTTCCTGAGGCGGATAGCCTTTGCGTGCTTTGCCATATTCGAATAACCAGTCATAACCATTGCAAACACCAAGACAGAAAAGAGAGAAATAATTTCGGAGATTTTGAGCGCGTTGAGCTCATTATTTAAAAACTTTAGAACAACCGTTAGTTCTAAAGTCCACCTGCGGCCGAGCGGTAAAATCGCTGAATACTGGAAGTTCGACTTGGGCTTAAATACTGGAGAACGAGTTGGCTGCATGGGAGTTTTCGTGGTTTCCCCATGTGTACGTAAATGCGAGCCAGTTTTCCTTAAAAAGTCCTCCACGAAGGCATTTCTCTCCTTTGGCGAAATAGCCCACGTCGAAGGACCTTGCCGTAATCCAAATAATACTTTTCAAAAACTGCAGTAAATTACAATACGAATATCAAAAACTGTTTTCTACAAAAGCTTGTTCCAAAACATGTACAATATGTTGTATTCCCACAAGATTTCGTTAAATAATGGCCATTACTCTTTAACCTGCCATCGTTAATTGTACCTTTAATTTTATAATAATTTTTTAATTTCTTTTTCTATTTCTCATATAATTAAAGGCTAAATGTAACTTTTAGGAAGAGTACAAATTCCATTCAAACCTGCTTATAAAGAAATTGCATAAATGGTGACAAAATTTCCTTACATCAGTCCCTAATTCAAAGCCAAGTATAAGGAAAACGTAAAGACGATGCCAGAATTTATTATAGCAGTAACTTATTATATCAGTAAATGTGGTTTAAAAATTATATTAGAGGAGCACAAAAATAGACAAACAAATACAAAAATAAAGCTTAATTTTTTTCTGAAATATTCTTTTACTTTCTAAGAACCAGTTTATTATGATAGTAAGGTAATATTACAGACTCTTTATTTATCTATTCTGAAAACTGAAACTAATAGACATTCAAAATCTCTTTTTATCAAAATATGATTCTACTGAAA